GGTGATCTGGCTGTGATATCTGTCATCCTACTGAACACCAGGGTGGATTCAGCTGATCTGGCTGGCTCCGTATGTGTCACTCTAGGAGCTGTATACTCAAAGAGGATGATTTTCCCTCGGGGAAGAGGACTGAAGTAGCTGAGCTCCCTTGCTAGAACGTCCAAACAAGTTCTCATGACAGGCTCCCAATCTAACCCAGGCTGGCCTCAAACTTGCAGCAATTCTGCTTCAACTTCTCAAGTGAGGGATAACAAGCGTGAAGCACCACACCTAGTCCCAAACTGAATTTCTTATCTTAGGTGAGTCACTGAATCTTGCTGGGTTCTCAGTTTGGTCCTCAAGTTTCCTACTCAGTCTGGTGGCTGCTTTCATCCACCTGCCTGACAGAGTAGACTGGTCAGTCATCAGATACCATATATGTGAACATGTTATAAAGAGGGGGGTAAGATAATGGTACAATTGTGAAGAATGACTTTCCAGTGTGCCCTTTGGGAGTTCGATGTACAGATTCTTAGGACCCCATGACAGCTCTAGATCGCCACAGGGATTTTTACACAACTAAAATAGCAATATCTAACATTTTAAATCATCAGTTCTTAGTGCTGAGTTGAGGGTACCTTAATGTTCATTTTTATCATATATGTGATTCTATGATTTTGAGTTTCTTAATTAGAAGGCACAGCTATTCACAACTTTCTATTCCCATGTGGTTCTTTAGTTACAGAAGGCGAATGGCCTCTAGGATTTGACTATGTTAGATAATGTATGACCCACATCTGAAAGACTCAAGTTCTTACTGAGCATAATTTTTTTTTTTTTTTTTTTTTGGTCTTTTTGAGACAGGGTCTCCCTGTAGCCCCAGCTGTCCTGGAACTCACTATATAGACCAGGCTGGCCTTGAACTCACAGAGATCTGCCTGCCTTTGCCTCCCAAATGCTGGGATTAAAGGCGTGCACCACCATGCCCAACTGAGCATAATCTTTTTTTTTTTTTTGGTCTTTTTGAGACAGGGTTTTCCTGTAGCCCCAGCTGTCCTGGGACTCACTATGTAGACCAGGCTGGTCTCGAACTCACAGAGATCCACCTGCCTCTGCCTCCCAAGTGCTGGGATTATAGGCGTGCGCCACCACACGCAGCGAGCATAATCTTTTTAATCTTGGTCAAAACAAAAACCCCATCTGAATATGCAGAAACAATACGGCTATTTTCTGGTTGCTCCTAAGTCCCCACCCAATGTGCAAGTAGATGACTACACAGTACATAGCCTTCTCTAAGTTCCAGACCCACAGGCCCAGGCAAAGAGACATCTCTACTTAGCACAGCTAAAACTAGACTCATCTTCCTGCTCCAGATCTGACCTCCAAATGCTTCCTTTCTTAATAAAACAGCACAACCATCTTTCCAATTAGTCAAGTCAGTAATATAGGAGCTATCTTTGATTTCTTTTCCTTCTATTCTGCCCATACCAGGTATGTCTTCAAGAAGTGTGCATGCTACCTTCTAAACTGCTTCCACAGCTGTGTACTTCATGTTATTTCACTGCTACCATCCTAGTCAGGCCACCAAATCTCTATGACAGCATGCCCTTCTCTCATCTCTTTGGATCGACTCTGGCCCTTTTCCTTTCATTCTCTGCAAGGCAGTCAGAAACATCATGTCCAACTTGTGTTTTTAAAACTCCAATTTTGGGCTGGGAGTGGGGGTGCACACCTTTAATCTCAGCACTCGGCAGGCAGGGGCATGGAGATCTCTGTGAGATCAAGTCAGCTTGGTCTACAAAGCAAGTTCCAGGCCAGCTGGGGCAACACGGAGACCCTGTCTGAAAAAAAACAAAAAAATTAAAGCAACACACCCCCAATTTCCAAATTCAAAGGGCTCGAATGCTGGTCCCTTCTATGCTGGTCCCTTCTCTTCTTTGGCCTCATCTTTCTCCTGCATCCTCTATCTAGTCAAAACTGTAACCCAGTGTTTGCACTCCTCTTCCTCAGTAATTAAAGCTTGATTTTTAACTAAATATAAGGCCTTGAAATGAAGATCTATCTATCTCTCTACCTACCTACCTACCTACCTACCTACCTACCTACCTACCTGTGTGGGTATGTGCGTGTGTGTGAGTACCCTCAGAGGCCAGAAGAGGGCACTGGATCCCCTGGTGTTGGAGTTACAGCCAGTTGTGAGTTGCCCAACATGGATGCTAGGAACTGAACTCCAATCCTCTAAAACAACAGCACAAACTCTTAACCACTGAGCCATCTCTCCAGCCCCTCTAAGCAGCTTTTTCCAACCTAATACACCATTCTGTACTACCAGATTCCTCATTTGGTGGACTTTTGTAGATGTAATTACCTGTTGCTTGTCTTCTTACACCTTTCAAATCTCCACTGAAATGTTTTGTTAGTCCCTCTTGAGTCCTTAGGTGAGGTTAAATACACTTGCTATTTAATTTTATGCTTTCTCTTGGATAACAGTGACCACACCTTTAATTACTGGCTAATAGCTATCTTTCCTACCACACTACAAACTCTTTAAAAGCAAGAATCTGATTGGTGAACTGTCATCCATTGGGCTGGTGTGCAGTTAGGTCCTGAATAAATGAATAATTACACAAACTTTGAGGGATTTTTCTGGACCCTGCTCTGAGGATTTCTTGGCCTTGTATTATAGGCTATAAACCCCATGGATAATTCTGTTCCTGTCAAACACTCTCACAGTGTAAAAACTGAAACTGTTTCTCTCCATTTGCCTTAAGACAAATCCGAAAAGTGCCAGCTTGAGCAAATATGCATAGTTCTTCCCACCAAGGCTTCATATTCTCTTAATACATGTAGGTACCAGAATGAAAGTATGAATATTCTAGAACTTCTTTTTGAGTCAGGATCTTGCTATATAACCCAGACTGGCCTTGATCTCAAGACATTCCTGCCTTAGCCTCTCAAGTAATTATAATCACATGTATGTGCTCACCATGAACAGCTATAGAATTTTATTTTAATGGAGACCTCTAACATGACTGATACGCATATATGTGCTTAAAACATATGTATATATGTATACATACATATATGTTTTTGAGCTTTTGAGACAGTATCTTTTCATGTAGCCTACACTTTCTTCAAACTCACTATATAGCCAAAGATGACCTTGAACTGAGCTACCTGCCTCCACTTTACAAGTGCTGGTATTATAAGCTTGCACCACCACACCCAGTATGACAAAAATTTTTGAGAGTCAGAATGCATTACAGGTATCTTAAGAGGAAAACATATGAAACATACTAACTAAATTATCTGACTAGTCTCATGTGCAGGCCATCCTTGAAATATTTCAAAAGTCTCTGGTTTAGAATAAATAGAACTTTTTAATGATGTACATGTTGGTTTCTTGCTTTATGCACTAACGATTCACTGACTGATGGTTTTACATAATTTACTCATTTTTACAAGTTAAACACCTTTTTGTCCTAATGTTGTGGAATTGAAATAAAACCTCTGGAAGCTGGGTAGTAGGGGCATGAAAAAAAATATCAAGAGATCTGTGTGATCTGTGTTTTGAAAGCAAAATGATTTACTAGGTAATTCTGGGTCAGTCTTTTTCTAACTCTAAGACAACGTGTTCAGTACAGATATGAGGGAAAACTATATAATTACCAGAAATCTGATACTTACCTATCAACTTTAGGTCCTATAAAGATTTAAATGAGTCTGGAACAGGTTCTTTAAAGTTCTAAAATCAAGTGTGTACTTTGGAAAACTAGTACTTTATATAAATGAGAATGGCTCATAGAGTCTTTTCAGTTCAGTATAGGTTACCCTCCTTCCACACTGGATTCTGAAGGTTCTCTGCAAAATCATGCACAGGCCAGTAAAACAGAATGGTTTTCACTGCCACTCCCTTGATCCCTGCACATCCTTTCTCGTACGTTATTATACCTTCCTAAGGAAGTTCCAAAGAGCAGCTAAGCCAGTGTCTGACAACTGCACAAATGCCCACCAACCACATGCAGAGACTTTTTGGCTTGTTTCTCTCTTCAGAGCAAGGACAGCCTAGTCGAGACTTTCCACACCCCTATAAATGTTAGAGACGTATCAAAACTCGGAAGTGATGCATCCCGAATGAGTCCGGGCAATCCCAGGCCTCCATTCTAAGAACCTGCGGACCAACGGGTTCCGGCCTAGAGTCAGCAAAGCAACCGCCCACCTCTTCACGTCCTTAGGGGCGATCGCCCAGCCCCCGCCCCGCAGTCGCCACCTGGCCCTGACCTCCTCGAACTGCTCGCCAGAGCAGCCAGCGCCGCGAGCCTCCAGCAACTCCCGGAACTGCTCCAGAGTGACAGCCTCTTCACCGCGGCCCAGCCGCTCTTCCAGCCAGCGCAATAGCGCGCCGTGGTGCCTCGACACCAGGGACTCGCAGGGTGGTGCCGGCCGCAAGGCAGCCGCTGCCTCCCGCAGCCGAGCGGGTTCCAGCAGCGCAGCGGCGGACGGCAGCGTCGCGGCCGCAGGGCCGGGGCCTGGGTTCGTGCCCGAGTCGGCGGCCCAATCCTGGTGTGGGCCCCAGCCTTCAGCCCCGGCTGCTGCCGCCTCGTCTTCGCTGCTGTTACTCGGAGCGTTCCCCATGGGGCCTCCGTCTTGGGTGCTCTGAGGTGCTGCCGCCGCCGCCTCCCTACCACGACCTGTCAACCTCCGACAGCTCCCCGCAGGCGGGGACGGGGAGGGAACGACGGCGGCGGCAGCGGCGGCTTCCGGCTTCCTGGCAGTCAAGCGAGGACTGATGTCGCAACGGTACCGTCAAGCGGACACTACCAGCTCACGACAGCTAGCTGACCGAGCACACCCGGAACGAAGGGTGGAACCCGGATTTCCAAGAGCAAGCCTATCATGACGTCTATGTCAGGTCGTAGCCGCCTTTGCCGCCATCTTTGTTGAGGGCGGATAGCCTGAAAGCAGAGAAGGTTTTTCACTACTGTTCCATTTTCTCTGCATCGCTTCCCTTTCTCAAGGCAGGCACGAAAAGTATGAGAAAGAGTCGGAGCCGAAGTGTGAACTTTTCTCCAAGGCTTTTGAGTGTGAGAGTCGCGCTGATGACGTCACGGCCGGCGTCTCCGCCCTCTTAGTTGTGGCTTCAGGGCCGGCAACTTCTGATGCGCGGCTTGGGTGCGACTGTGTAGGTGCTGAGGCCGTGCGGATGCTGAGGCCGTGCGGTCGTGGCCTGGTGCTGAGCCTGGCCGTGGCGGCGGCGGCGGCGGTAACCGTGTGGCTGGCCGACTGGTGGGGTTCTCGCGCTGGCTTTCGCCTTTTCGTACCCGAGGATCTGGCACGCTACCGCGGCGGCCCAGGGGATCCGGGCCTCTACTTGGCAGTGCTCGGCCGTGTCTACGATGTGTCCTCTGGCCGGAGGCACTACGAGCCTGGGGCACACTATAGCGGCTTCGCAGGTATCAGCGAGACCCGCACATCTTTTCCTGTGGCACGCGCCGTTCTTTCGTTCTTTAGTTCATTCTGCGTCCCGCTATCGCACATTCCTCAGACTACTGAGGCGGGGAGGACGCGGCTGCACAGTCCTGGTCTCCAGCTCAAGCGCGACTGTGCCAGTTGTGCACCCGCACCCTCTCTCTCAACCGCTGTGTGTGATGTTCGAGAAACGTGTGTCTTATTAGCTACCCTTTATAATTCAAAAGTCCCTCTGCTCTCAACAGCTGCCCTAATTCCAGTCACTTTAGGCTCTGATCTGAAATAACTTTTTGTCCTCCCACCCCGTTTCCCGTAAAATCGTATTGAATTCGTTTGGGGGTTCTAATAGATGTGCTTGTCTGCTTTTCTTAAAAGAAAATGAAAAGGAAGTGAGTGTGACGTTAGAGCACAGGGAAGCAAATCACATTTATAAGTCCTTTTAATACAGTAAGTGGGAAGTGGTGATCTGTTCCTGAAGTCCAGCTGTTGGGAGTGGTTGAGGTTCCTTGAGCCAGGAATTTGTGGCCATTTGGGCAACATAGCAAGACCCTGACTCAAAACCAAGCGGAAACAAATCAGAATAAAATTGCGTGTTAGTCCTCTTAAGAACATTTGTCAAATTAACTACTTACTGTCTTGCCCCCCCCCCTTTTTGAGACAGGGTCTCCCTGTAGCCCCAGCTGTCCTGGAACTCACTATGTAGACCAGGCTGGCCTTGAACTCACAGAGATCTGCCTGCCTTTGCCTCCGGAGTGCTGGGATCAAAGGCGTGGACCACCACGCCTGGCCTCCTGCCCCTTAAAAAAAAAAAAAAAAAAAAAAAGACTGAGGGGATTGAAGAATGTATTTGACTAAAGTTCACAGGAGATGGGCCAGAGCCATCAGCCAAATAATTTTAAAGATGTTGCTTTACTAGCCAAAGAGACTACCTCCCTGTTTTAAGGGAAGAAATATGCAGGCCAAGCCCAAGGCTAGTGACTAGGTTGATATAAAATTTAGCTCTGTCTGCATGGTGTTGTCTCTGGGGAATTATTAAGCTGCATTTAAATACAAATCACTTCCTTCTCTCCAATCTTTTCAAACAGTCCAAGAGCAAACGGACCTGCCCAGGGTCACATTGAGTTAGAAACAGAGCCAGACTGGAATGATGTCACTTGGTGGCATTTTAGTACACTGTTCCACTGATGGCTGATCAAGCTGTCATGGATGCATGCATAAGCGTGGGCACAGACACTTCCATTTCTGGAATGATCCTTTACAATCTGCTTTAATGTCTGCTGAGTTCTGTATATTCAATATTTGACCTCAGTTTATATTGGTTTATATTCAATATTTGACCACTACCATGGATTCCTATGTCAGGTGCTGACTGAGGAATCTAAGGTGTCTTTGACATGCTCTTCCCCACTGCCCACATAGTCTGTTAGGGAAGCAGATGTGTTTGCTTTTTCAGTCAATGTTTATTTTTACTGGGGTATCATTCACAGAAAATATTTTTAAGGTTTATTTTTATTTTATGTGTTTAAGTGTTTTGCCTGCATGTATGGCACAGTGCCCACAGATGCCAGAAGAGGGTGATGGAGCAGCCATGCCACTGCTGTGAACCTAACCTGGGTCCTCTGCAAGAGCAACAAATGCTCTTAATCGCTGAACCATCTCTCCAAACCCCTGCCTCACCCTTTTTTTGAGATAGGGCCTATGTAGAACTCACAGTGTAGATCAGGCTGGCCTTGAGCTCACAGAGATCTGTCTGCTTCTGCCTCTTGAGTACTGAGATTAAAGACTTGTGCCACTACACATGGCCTAAAGAAATCTTATATTTGGACGTTTACATGTGTTTTTATATATATGTACATATAGTTAGAAATTTAGCAAACATTACCACTATCTAATTCCAGAACATTTTGATAATCCCAAAAGGAAACTATCCATTAGCAATCCCTCCCACCTCCCTCCTCCTCTGAGCCCCTGGCAATGCCTCTTTACTTCCTGTTTTTATTTGTGACTACTGAGCATTTCATGTTAATAGAATCACACACCTAGCCTTTTTAGTCTGGCTTTTATTCAGCATAAAGTTTTCAAGGTTCATGAATAGTGTCAGCAAGTAGCCATACTTTATTCTTTTTATGACCAAATAATATAGCATATGTAAATACTACATTCTATTTATCTGTAGATGGGCTTTTGGCTATTTCCACTTTTAAAATTTTGAGTGTGTGTGTGTATGAGTATATATGAGTGTAGGTACATGTGTATGGCAGCACGGGCAGAGATCAGAGGACAACTTTTGGGAGTTGGTTCTCTCCTTCCACCTTGTTCTTGTTTCTGCCTAGCTTTGTACTCCAGGCTAGCTAACCTGCAGGCTTATAGACAATTCTCCTGTTTCTGCCTCCTATCTTAGCATAGTGTGCTGAGATAACTGATGCTCACTCACCATCGCATCCAGCTTTTTTACATAGATTCCAGGAATCAAACTCAGATTGCCAGTATTGTGCAGCAAGCACTTTTCTCTGCTAAGCCATCTTGCTGGCCTACTTTTCACCTCTTAGAGATACTGCTGCTATGAACATAAGTAAGTTTTGTGTGAACATATGCTGTCAATTCTTAGTATATATCTACATGTAGATTTACTGGATCACATGGTAATTGTTTAACTTTGGGGAAATGGCAAGTTGTTCCCTAAAGTCCCTGTATCATTCTATATTCCCACCAGGAATGTATTTGTTTCAGTTTCACCACACATCCTCACCAAAACTTGTGAACTTGTTGTTTTTGCTGGTGCTAGCATTGAACCCAGAACAACTGGACATGCTAGGCAAGTGTTTTTATCACTGAACTATATCCTCAGTCCTCCTTGCCCCTCCTTTTTTTTTTTGAAGCAGGGTCTCCTGGTAGCCCCAGCTGTCCTGGAACTTACTATGTAGACCAGGCTGGCCTCGAACTCACAAAGATCCGCCTGCCTGCCTCTGCCTCCCAAGTGCTGGGATTAAAGGCGTGCGCCACCACACCTGGCGCCCACCCCCTTTTTTAGGAGACAAAGTCTCACTGTGTAGCCCAGATTGACCTTAAACACACAGCAGTCCTCCTGCCTCAGCATCCCAAGTGCTGGAATTATAGGACTGAGCCACCATTCCTGGTTCTTAATGCCTTTTGTATCGTAGCCCTCCTAGTGGGTTTAAAGTGCTGTGTCATTGTGGTCTTGGTTATTTACTCTTTGCTAATGCCTAATGGAATTAATGGTACTGAGCATTTTTTTCATGTACCCAATGTCCATTTGTATATCTTCTTTGGAAATTCATCTATTCAAGTTCTTTGTCCTTTTTTTTTTTTTTTTTTTTTTTTTTTTTTTAAAAAAAAAAAAAAAAAAAAAAAAAAAAAGAGGACGATAAATCTTTCACTGTGATATATCAAAATAACACAGAGATCCACCTGCCTCTGCCTCCCAAGTGCTGGGATTAAAGGTGTGTGCCACCATGCCCAGCTAAAAATTCTTTATATACTTGAGATACAAAACCTATATCAGATACATACTTTTCAAATATTTTCTGCCATTCTAGAGGTTGTCTTTTCACTTTCTTGATCATGTCTTGTGATATACACAAGTTTTAAATTTTGAAAAAAATCCAATTTATTATTTGCCTTTGGTTGTGATATGTTTTAAAAGGAAAAAGTAACAGTTTTACAGAGCCTCTAACAGTTAGTGGGGAGGAGAGAGGTGAGCACAGTGAACAATGGAAAAAGTGGCCAGGCAGGGTTGGTGGCAGCTGCTCCTGAACTAAGGATTTTGGATATTGTCATAAGACAAAGGGAAGCACTGAGGATTGTTTTGGCAGGAAACGACATGATGATTTTTGAATTTAAAATATCAGTCTAAGTGTTACGTGGAGAATAGTTTAGCAGGAGAGAATGTGGGAGACCCTGTCAGAGTCCTCTGTAGTAGATCACATGAGAGATGATGGCAGCCTGATAGTGCCTGGTCGTAGGAAGAGACAGGTGGACACATACAAAACTATTAAGAAGAAAAGTAAGTCTTGGGTACTAATTGATCCCTAGGGATAAGTAGACAATGAGGAGCTGGGGGGCCGGGGGTGATGAAACCAGGTGCTGGAAGCCGAAGTTATCAGCTGTGTTCAGGACTGCTAAAAGTAAATGAAAGCAAATGGCAGATGCCAGAGATGATATGTGTATGTATGTCACAGGTTCAGGAGTCTCAGTCTCTCTCTCTCTCGCTCTCTCTCTCTTGCTCTCTCTCTCTCCTCTCCCCTCTCATGTGCATGTGTGTGTAATATTTCCCTGGGGATGACTGTTAGGGCATAATTTTCAGAAAGCAAATTTTTGACTTAGTAAAATATTAGTTATTTACAACCAAATATTTGGAAACTTATTTCCTGCAGGCCGAGATGCATCTAGAGCGTTTGTGACAGGAGACTACTCTGAAGCTGGCCTTGTGGATGATGTATCTAGCTTGTCCTTCTCTGAGATGCTGATTCTTCACAATTGGCTTTCCTTCTATGAGAAGAATTATGTGTTTGTTGGTATGTAGTCCTCTGCCAGCTCCAACGATTTCACTTGGTCATTTTGGGATGTTTTCCAGGGGGCCAGGATTCTTTAGGTATTGGGCTCAAGATGAAAACTAGCCCTCAGTTTTTCATGTGAATTCTTGCTGTTAGCTCAGGAGTAAGCCCCAGAAAGAGAAGGATTTATGGGACAATCTTGGGAGAGGATTGCCAAGCCTTTTGCTTTGGCTTTAGGTCCCCAAAGTCAGTGGTCACCTGTGTTACAGTGAATAGCCAGCTCTAGGGGGGCAGTTCTCTGTCTTCTGTATTCTAGGTATGTAGCTCCAACACATAACCAGGAAGGCTTAAAGCCTAAATTCTACATTTCTGAAAGTTCCCTTTCATTTTTCTCTCTAATTAAGCAAACATCCTGAGTAACCTGTCTCTGAGGTAGAAGTTATTCTAACCACACATTGATCGATCCATCCATCCATCCATCCATCCGTCCATCCGTCCATCCGTCCATCCGTCCATCCGTCCATCCAGGCAGGGTTTTGTGTATCCCAGGCTGGCCTCAAACTCTATGTAGACCAAGCTAGCATTAAGCTCCTGAACCTCCTGCCTCCACCTCCCAGGTGCTCAAATATGTATTAATGCTAGTTGTATGGGGTCTAGAATATGCTGCTTATTGGTGATACAAGAAGGAACTGAACTCTAAATTGGGAAGACAGCTGACAGTGTCCTAAGGCACTGTTACAAACACTGATCACTACAGTCTTTCCCAGGCACTGAAAGCTGGGGTGGCTGGGGTCCTTTATTTCATCTGTCTGAAGCCCCACTTCTCATGGAGACCCACATAGACATTGCTGACTTCCTGGGATACCAGAGTCCCTTTACCACAGGAACAGGTCTAAGTTTAGACTTTTGTTTCTCTGCCCTAATGCCTTTGCATATCTGCTTTTATCATTGCTGCTTGAGCTTCCTGTTCTGTCATTTTTACTAATGCATCTGTTCCCTACACATCCAACTGTATAAGGCTTTTTTTTTTTTAATAAGATCTAAAGTGTGTGCCTTTCCTTTCTGTTCCCCTCCCCTCCTCATCCCTTGTTGGCCTTCATCCCACCATGCAGCATATTCTTCTTGTTTTCCCTCAGTCGTTCCTGAGGTCACAACCATGTCTGTCATGGACGGTGATCACCTCTGTCCATTCGTGCTTCAGATAGCTTGTTTCTTCCTGTCCTCTACCACAATGATGCCAAGTGATAGCTGAAATGTTCCTGACCTAATCAAGAAAGTAACCAGAAGAGTAACAATAGAGGGGCTGGAGAGATGGCTCAGCGGTTAAGAGCACTGGCTGCTCTTGCAGAGGACCAGGGTTTGGTTCCCAGCACCTACATGGTGGCTATCAACCATCCATAATTCCAGTTCCAGGGGATCCAATGCACTCTTCTAACCTCCTCAGGCACTGCATGACATGGGTATACTTATATACATGTAGGCAATACACTCATGCACATAAACAATTAAAAATAATAAGAATGGAGCCCTATGAGTAAAAAGAGGTGCCATAAAGAACACCTCAAACTGATATTGGGGGAGCAAACTAGAAGCATTCCTGATGTACTTGGGAAACCAGTTCATTGCTGGAACAATGTGTAAAATGTTGAGGGGGGCACATGATTGGAAAGGCCTTAGAAGAATTTTAGTTACATAACATGTATTTGAACGTCTATAACAGATGTTATGATTTTGATCCTGAAGGGGATCAGGAGGAGCAAGTTCATTGCAGTTCCTACCTAGGTGATGGGATGGAGACCATGTGAGGCTCTTTTAGGGACATCAGAGGATGAAGGTAAATGTCAAGGTGACTTGAACATAGTGAGGAAGCCATCATGGCAGCAGCACAGCTGGGCCTTAGGGGAAAAAGGAGACAGATTTTGTTGTGCTTTGGATGTAGAACACATTTATAGAGCCAGTCAGTGAGCCTGTTCTCATAGCACAGCTTCTAAAACTCTGTCTGTCTCTATTCCTACTATTCTCTGTCTGGATGCCATGTCTAAAACCAAGTCAGGTTCATCCCATGCAACATGGAGCCATCTGTACCCAAAAGTTTGGTGTCAAGCTACCAAAAGGCTATATACCTGGCACTACGGTCCTATCCATCTAGTAAATATTCATCTAGTAATTCATCTAGTAAACATTTATAGCCAGTGCTGTGTAGGAAGCTGTTTTGAATGCTAGGCCTCACAGGTGGGGAAGAGACAACATTCTAAACAAGAAAACTGAGCAGATACTTCTTCATAGGCCTATGAATAAAAGCATGGAATGCATGCTTGGGGGTATGAGGCACCTCAGGAGTAGGTGGCCAAGGGAGGCTTCTTGGAGGAGATGGCAACTAATGAGAGCTAGTGGTGAGTAGTGAGAGGAGGTGGCCATAATGAGATCTGGGAAGTGTTGCAGGCTCGGGGAGGGGTGGGGATCAGCACACCCTGGTCAGAGAATGGAGAAACCAGTATGCTGGAGTTCAAAGGAAATGGGGGAACAAGTGGTTTGAGAAGAGGCTGAATAAGCAAACAGAAGCCAAATGGCTTTTGGAACGTACAGGCCTACATAAGTTTGTATTTTATTTTGTGCTTTGAGAAGCTATTAGAGTTTTAACCAAGCACACAAGTTGCATGATAATGATTCATGTTTAAAAAGAGCACCCAGGGGCTAGAGAGATGGCTCAGCAGTCAAGAGCACTGGCTGTTCTTGCAGAAGACTTGGGTTTGAATCCCAGCACCCACATGGCAGCTAACAACCATCCCTAACTCCAGTTCCAGAGGATCTGATGCCCTCTTCTGACCTCTGTGGGCATTGTACAACATGGGCATACTTATACATATGCAGGCATAACACTCATACACATAAAAAAAAAAAAAATTTAAGAAGAGCACCCAAACTAAGCCTCTAATCAATCCTAACACTTGGCAGACTGAGGCAGGATTCTCACAAGTTCTAGGTTAATGAGGCCCTGTGTCAGAAAAGAAGGGAGTAAGGTGGGAATGCAGCTCAGTGGCAGAGTACTTACCTAGCATGTACGAAGCCCTAGTTCTGATCTGAGCACTGGAGTGGGGATGTGGGGTCCGGGTAGGTGGGGGTGCTTCATGGAGAAATAACTAGGAAAGCTTGAGCTGTGCGGAGACCAATTGGGAGGCTGTTGTCATATCTGTGGTTTGGATTCAGTGGTAGTGGAAATTGACAAGAATAGATAGAATCAGGATAGATTTCAGAGGTAGAACTGAAAAGATTGGTTAATTAGCCATGAATGAAAGGACATGCATATTTGAATGTGAAGAGGAGTCAGGAAAGATGCACTGTTCCTCCAGAGGTGACATAGATGGATATGGGAAGTTGGGAGCATAAGCCAAATCCTGGGCCTGGTGAATGACTGTGACACTGGAATCTAAGCTCAGCTCAGTGCCTGAGGACTGACTACACACAGCTGGGGGCAAGGGGCCATACTACCTCCTACTTGACCAAACCTCCTAGAAGTGTTTTCTGGGGCTTCCCTCACCTGGTAAGGTGCTTCCCATTGTCAACACAAGCATAATGCTCACCTCAAAGGGGATAAGAGAGTTTATTCTGGAGCCAAGTATGAGTGACCATGGCCCAGAACATAGATTCAAATTACCCCAATTCCATGTTCTGGTGTGGAAGCAGTTTCATAGAAAAACACAAGGCCTGGGGAGATGGCTCAGTGGTTAAGACTGCTCTTGCAGAGGACCCGGGTTCAATTCCCAGCACCCACATGGCGTCTATGAACTGTCTGAAGCCCTCTTCTGACCTCTGCAGCATTGCATGGCACAGGTGTACTCACTCACATGCAGGCAATACATGCATACACATAAAAAATAAATATTTTTAAAAAAGAAAAACCCCATGTAACATAACAAAGAAAAGTCATAAATCAAGACACTTCAAATACATTGGTGGATACATTATAGGTTGTAGCAAAGCCAGGGGATTCTACTATGGGTCTCAGATGCTATCTGATGACATTCTTAGCTTTTTGATTGGTGGGATTTGGTAGTCTGCTAAGTTAACACATTCCAAAAGGTTTTTATTGGTTAGTCATGGGATGCTAGGTCAGAAACAGAAGTGGGCAAAGAACTGGCTATTTAGGGGCTAATGGTAGCAAATGGTAGTTAGGCTCTGGACCTGCAACATTCCAGACTGTCCATAATCTCTTATCCGTTAATCAGCCTTGCAGAAGAAAGTCCAGTTTGAAGATGTAAGGTTTATCTGGGAACTTTGGTTCACACCATGAAGACTGTTTTGCACCTCAGAACTTGGGCACAGCAGGCTATGGTGTCCAAGTTAAAAAGAACCTTTTTTTTGTGCTGGCCTGTAGGCTGCAACCACTTAGTAGCTGCTGCCATAGTGTAGATGTTAAGAAATTGTGACAGCATCTTTTTTTTTGGTCCAAGACACATTCTCCCTGTAGCCCCAGCTGTCCTGGAACTCACTATGTAGACCAGATTGGCCTTGAACTCAGAGAGATCTGTCTGCCTCTGCCTCCCAAATGCTGGGATTAAATGTGTGCGCTACTACACCCGGCCTAGAAATTTTGACAGCATCTTAACAAAAACTAGTTTCCACTCACTTATCTCACTGAGGACTGAGACAGAAGAAAGTGGTAGAGGGAAAAGCATGGGCTTTGAGCTAGTCTCCCTGACTAGCTGTAGAGGATCCTGCAATCTCTCCTACAAATACAGGAAAAATTTTTCTTTCAAATAGGTTTACTCTGAGGATTAGAAATTTTGGTAAAGGGCTGGGGATATAGTATAGTGGTAGAATACTTACCTAACTTGTGAAAGGTCCTGGGTTAAAGCCATAGTGCCACACGCACACATGCACACTCACACAAAATGTTGGCAAAGTGTTTTCATAGTGCCTGGCACTTAATAAATGTTCAATAAATGACTTAGTTATAATTCTTTAAGGCAAAATAATTTGACATGGACTCACAAACGTGGGCTAATAAGCTATGCATTCACCTAACATTTACTAGATACCTACTGTGTGCCCCCAAGCGCTTCAAATCATCAATAAATGTGTCACATGTGATTTCTCAGAGAACTGATATCGGGAGGTGAGAACAATTTGATCATTTCCATACTGGCAGACTCTACAGCTAGATCAGGGATGCTTTTATTTGGGGGGTTTGAAGCATGTTGAGGGAGGCTAGGATCAAAGATACAAAAAGTCCCTTCAGGGCTGGTAAAATATAGCTCAGTGATACAACACTTGTCTAGCAGGCTCAAGGTTCTGAGTTCCACCCCACCCCTTGGGGGGAAAAGTCATTCAGTGTGAGTTCTTATTGAGTATCCAGCAGACTGTTGTAAAACCCTGAAGTCCAAATTCTAAACCCTCAGGAAAGAGAGCTCAATTTTCAACTACTTATAAAACTGAGCATCTGCTCATGCCTCATTTCCATTGTTACTCTGATGTTAGCTCCCCTGTTATCCCAGGAAGGGTGACTGGAAGGTTCTACAGAGATAATGGGCTGCCTACTGCAGAACTAACCAAGATAGAAGCTATGATAACCAAAGGCTTGGAGGCAAATAAACAGGAACAGAAAGACAAGCAGAAGTTCCCACCATGCAATGCTGAGTGGAGCATCACTAAGGGCAGCCGGTTCTGGTGTTCCCAAAAAAGGTAAGTAGATTTGCCTTCTGCTCCTTCACCTCTCCTGAATCCAAATTTTTCTATACCACCCTGCCTGTATTATTCAGGGATTTCATGAACTGACTGCTAACCTAGAGGAGCTTACATGTGCTGTGGTCACTATTATTTAAAAAAAAAAAAAAAATACCCAACAGGCTGGGCATAGTGGCGCATTGCCTGTAGTCACAGCACTTGGGAGGCAGAGGCAGGCAGATCTCTGAGTTCAAGGCCAGCTTGGTCTACATAGTATGTTCCAGGACAGCTGAGGCTACAGGGAGGCCCTGTCTCAAAAAAGGCCAAAAAAAAAAACCTGACAGAGGCAATTTAAGGGAGGAAGGACTTCATCTGTTTTATGGTTTTAGGGGATGCAGTCCATCACAGTGGGGAAGAGTGGGGAAGGCATGGCAGAGCAGCTCTCTGACCATGGCAGTGGATGTGTGCAGCTGCCACTTCTCAGATTGTAGCAGGAAAAGCAGAGCTCGGGCTAGGACCAGAAGCAGATATAACCTTTATGGCCTGCCCCACTGACCTCACTTCTTCTAGCTAGGATTCAGACCCCAAAGGTACTACAAGCTCCCATAACTGTACTGACAAGTGGGGATTAAGTGTTCAAATGCATGAGGCTATAGTGGACATGTGAGAGTTCAAACCATTAAAGAAAATTCTTCCTTCTCCCAGGGAGCCATCCACTGAATGGACAGGCCAAACACAGGCACCACTTTCTCTAGATGTAGTCACTGTACCCATCACCCAGTCCCTCTGCTTTAATTTGGGGGGATCAAGGTGAAGGCTCGAGAAAGCAAACCCCATCTCTCTTGGCTTCTAGTTTCAGAGATGCAGTTTCTGTGGTGTCATCAGAACCTGGCCTGTCCACTTCAAGAGGAGGGTCTGGGACTTGGGTGGCCCTTCTGGGACATGAAGCTAGATGCTGATGTCCTCAGAGAGCACTGGTATTGTGAGAGGTGCCAGAAGCCTGAGGTGTGCAATGAGATACTGCCTCTTCCTCTTGAGAGCATACCCCTCCCCCCAGATCCCTCTGTCTGATTAACCACACCCTTGCATTCAGGACTCAGTTACTCAGGTCCTGCCTTCCCACAGAGCCCTTTCAGACCCATTCTTGACCCTCAACCCAATGCTGTTTTCTACTCACCTGTAGGCCTCTGAGAGAGAGGAGCTCTGTAGGCAAGGACCCGGTGGAGAGTAAGGATCACTGGTGGAATGGATGGCAGACAGGGGAGGGAGGGAGGCATTTTGGTGCCTTAGCAGCCCTATTGTTAAGATAAAAGTGGAGTGGTTTCTAACTGGGTGACAGTTTCCCTGCCAGTGAATCTGGTCCTAAGCACTGGGGCCTCTATGAGGGTCAATTCCATGAACTTCACTTTCCTTTTGTAAGGCCTCTGAGTCTACCAGACACCAAACATGGTACCCCAAGATGGATTAGGTCCTTCTGCCTAAGATGGGAAGTTACAAGGCTATGCTGAGCCTGAAGTCTGGCAACATCCAGAGCTGAACCCATGCAGAACCAGCATGGCTTACAGCTACCCCAATGCTAAGGCCCACCCAGTTTCCCCCTCCCACCAAGTGCCCCAGGCCCTAAGGTCAAGATGCTGCTCAGCACTGTGATGTAATGGGAAGAGGAACAGAGAAGCTCACAGACTAGTGGGGAAGACTCCCAGCCACCAACACAAGCTCAGGGAAATTGTACTCCTGCTTGAAAAGGAACAAGGAGGGCCGAGGGCACAGGGAAATGGGACATGGAGTCTGCCTCGTTCTGGAAAAGGTAGCATTGGCACTGTGTGGGGAAGGCAGAAGTTGGGAGAGCTTGTGGTTGAGATGCAAAGTGGGGTGCATGGCTGCTTTTCAGAAGCCCTCAGAGTATTTACTCCTTGTCCCAGAGACTTGTAAGTTCATGCTTCTAAGTCTCCTTTCTTTCTGTCTTAGTGGAGGTGTGAACAGAGACTGGATTGGTGTCCCCAGGAAACTGTATAAGCCAGGGGCCAAGGATCCTCACTGTGTGTGTGTGAGAACAACTGGCCCCCCTAGTGACCAGCGGGACAACCCTAGACACTCAAATCGTGGGGACTTGGACGACCCCAACTTGGAGGAATACATAGGCTGTCCACCTCTGGCCACCACATGCTCCCTCCCACTCTTAACATGACATCTTGTGTGCTGATGACACATGGAAAACCTTACCTAGAATCTCTAGGAAGCCCCTGACAGTTGTGTTCTACAGTGACATGAAACAGGAGAGTCGAGAAGGACTCAGCCTCACTCTGCCAATGTGTATCACCATTGGCTCACCATTCTGGAGACTGAAGCAGCCTGCCTGGGGTGGTCAACTGGTTTTGACCTTAATTCCCCTCAGTCCCTCTGCCATCTTCCTTTAGAGCCATCAGACATTGAGCACAGTACAATCAACTCGGAAAAAACTGGACAAAATCTCTGAGTTCCAACAGCATCCTTCGCATGAACTCCCACGTAGCCTGGATCAGAGTGTGGACTCTGCCCATGCCAGCTCTCTTGGTACTTGGAAGGGGACTGTAGCTCTCAGCAGAGAAAAAGGCACTTCCCAAGAAACTCTGCGTCTTAGCAGAAGCACGGTAACTTAGATTCCTCACTGGCTTAAGCTTGTGATCTCTTGACATTTATGACCATTCTTCTAAATATCCCAAGGCAAACTTGAGTTTATAGTGTAAAGCCCAGTGACTTGATCAGAGCTGAACCAGTACAGTGAGATATGATAAAATGAGATACCTTTTACTTATACAGATGGAACACATGCAGATCTTCCTTCTTCTCTTCTGGCCTCTGGCTCAAGTGTGCATTAAAAAACTCACTTCTAGCCAGGCATGGTGGCGCATGCCTTTAATCCTAGCACTGAGGAGGCAGAGGCAGGTGGATCTCTGTGAGTTCAAGGTCAGCTTGGTCTACATAGTGAATTCCAGGCCAGTTGGGGCTATAGGGAGACCCTGTCTCAAAAAGACCAAAAAGAAAAAAAAAACTCCTGACATCATAAATAAAAACTTGTCCCTCCACTTTGTAAGTGTGTAACTGCCATGCATTATGGGAAGGACTTCTGCTCAAAGTTTCTCAAGCCTATTCACTGCCGCAGCAGGACTAGTTCTTATCTACCTTGATCTCTGTTGATTTTTTTCTTTCATTTCTCATTTTTTTCTTTAATTTTTTGAGAAAGGTTCTCATGTATCCCAGGCTAGCCTTGGACTCAGCATGTAGGTTTGTTTAGGTTTATGCGGTACTAGGGATTGAACCCAGGGCTATATGCATTCTGTATACCAAGTACTCTACCAACTGAGCTACATCCTTATCCCCTTGATCTTTCATTCTTTTTAAAATAAAAATTGTTTTAAATTGTATGTATGAGTGGTTTGCCTACATGTAAGTGCACCTGTGTCATGCAATACCTGCAGAGGTCTGAAGAGGGCATTGGATCCCTTGGAACTGGAGTTAGTAGACTGTTGTTAGCCACATTGTGAGTACTGGGAATCAAACCTGGGTCCTCTGCAAGAGCAGCCAGTGCTCTTAACTACTGAGCCATTTCTCCAGCCCACAAAACTCCACCTTTCTAAGACCTAGTCTTCATTCTGTTACCAGGTGATCAGCACTGCTATTTATACCCTTGCCTTAGGCCCAGCAGTTGGTCTCAACTCTTTCCTCCTTCCCCCTTGCCAATCTGCAGACTGCTGTCTGCCTCTTAACCCTTCTTTCCATTCCTCTCCCAGTCCCCTCTGGTTTAGGCTGGTGGGTATCTCTGCTCCAACTCCTTGTGGCAGGTCACCTTTCTTCATGATGACCAGGCATTCTCCACTTAAGCCTCTTAGGGGCTCCCCATATCTCTGATCATTAGCACTGTGACAAGAGGGGGCTTCTGCATGGCCTGTATGACTTCACTCTGGCACCACTTCTCCCCTCCCATGTGCCTTGCCTTACTCTCCAGTTTTCCTCTGTCTGCATAGTCTACAGTGCCTCCACACAAACCATTCCTTCTGGTGCAAACATCTCTCCTTCCCTTTATTAGGCTGCCTCATATTTCTTAAAAGCCCTGCTCATACAGGCCCTTTTTGGGTACCTTCATTAAACATGGGCCTCAGGAGTAATTTCAACACTTTGCCTAGTCTCCATAGCAGCCTGTACTCACTATTAAGAATATGTACCAGGGGGCTAGAGAGATGGCCCGGTGGTTAAGAGCAATGGCTGTTCTTTCACAGAACCTGGGTTCAATTCCCAGCACCCACATGATGGTTAACAACCATCTATAACTCCAGTTTCAGGGGACCCGATGTTCTCTTTTGACCTCTGCAGGCACTGCATGACATGGGTGCACTTACACATATGCAGGCAGTACATTCATACACATAAAAGATATTTTTATTTTTTAAAAAAATTTATTTTTATTTTTTAGAAAATATTTTATTTTTATGTGTATGAGTGTACTGCCTGCATGTGTGTAAGTGCACCTGTGTTATGCAATATCAGCAGAGATCAAAAGAGGGAGTCTGATTCTGTGGAACTGAAGTTAGGGATGGTTGTTAGCTGCCATGTGGGTGCTGGAAATCGAACCCAGGTCCCCTGTAAGACCAGCCAGTGCTCTTAGCCACTGAACTATTTCTCCAACCCCCCCAAATAAATATTTTTTTAGAGTATCTACCACAGTGGGGTTTAACCATGGCTTTCCCATTAGCCCCTCACACTGCACTTGGTTCAGTGTCATTTCCACTCCTGCACATTCATGCCCATATTCTTCTCAGGGCAGGAGCAGAGAGGAAAGCTGGTTTGAGGACCTTGTTCTGAATTCCAGGCAGCCCTGAGCCCGATTCCTAAGGCTTCTGCATTCGCCAGAAACAGTCCTCATCCCCAGTCTAACCGGTAGCTTTGTCCTCTGGTCACATGAAAATATTACCAAGCACCTGCAGGAGGTGGGACAAGCACTCTTAGGGTCTCACAGTTGGGTAGGAAAAGCCCCAACTGGAAAGAGAAAACAAGGTTTACTGTCACAGCAGCCAGATGTGTGCCTGACCAGTGTCCATGCCCAGAACAAGGTGGCCAGCTCAGGTGCCTGTGGGAGAACTCATTTCTGGGTATGGGGAGATGGTTCAGTGAGTAAAAGCTGTGCATGGCAGACCTTACCTATGGGAAGCTTAGCATGGGCCATCAGAGGAGAGGAAATCTAGCATGTTGGGGAGCTAATGCTGGGCTTGACTTCATTTAAAGCGCTTCCTTCTCAAATTTATCTCCCCATTTCCTCTCTTAGAGGCAAAATTCCTATAGCTACCACACCTGTATCCTGTCATAAACTGCTCTAGGAAAAGCTGGGATCCGCCCCATGAGGCAGGTTGGGACTATGCTCCTCAGAGAACAAAGATCCTAGGGATGGACACCCTGTCCCAGGTTCCACTCCCAGAACTTCGAGATTCAAGTGAGCAGCAGACACTGTCACCAACTTCCCTAGAGAAGCCCTGATGTATACACACCAGAATCTGCATATTCGGAAGGACGGACAAACAGATCACTTGTAATTGGGAACCCTGAGAGCCAGGAAAGAAGGGAAAACACACATAGAAATTGTGAAACTTAGCTAGGCGTGGTAGCACACATCTTTAATCTCAGCACTTGGGAGGCAGAGGCAGGCGGATCTCTGTGAATTCAAGACCACCCTGGTCTACATAGTGAGTTCCAGGACAGCTGGGGCTACAGAGAGACCCTGTCTCAAAAAGACCAAAAAAAAACCCACACATACATAATTTATTTATGTGTTTAAGTGTATTGCCTGCATGTGTGTAAGTGCACCCAGTTGTGTAATGCCCATAGAGGTCTAAAGAAGGTGTCGGATCTCCTGAAACTGGAATTATGGACAGTTTCTAGCTGCCACGTGGGTGCTGGGAATCGAATCTGGGTCCTCTGGAGGAGCAGTCGGTGCTCTTAACCTCTGAGCCATCTCTCCAGCCCCCCCCCCTTTAAAATTATTTTTGTTTTATGTGTATGCGTGTATTGCCTGCATGTAGGTAAGTGCACCCGTGTTGTGCAATGCCTGTGGAGGTCAGAAGAAGCTGTCAGATCCCCTGGGACTGGAGTTAAGGACAGTTGTTAGCTACCATGTGGGTGCTGGGATTCAAACCCGGGTCTTCTCCAAGAACAACCAGTGTTCTTAACTACTGAGCCATCCCTCCAGCCCCCTCTTAACTGCTTTGAAATAATGGAGATGGAGGGGAATGTCCAGGGGTCTTTGGGCAAATTCATGGGGCCAGCTGAATGAAATTGCATCTGTGACCACATACATCATCCTAAACTGACGTTTGGGCCAAGAAGGCATTAAGTTCAGGTAGTTGCTTGCTCTGCCAAAGGTATCTACTTTCTGACATCTGTCAACTAGGGAATTAGAATTTAAAATATAGAGGGTAGCTGTTTAAGACATTTGGGTTTTTTTTGGGGGGGGGGTCTTTTTGAGACAGGGTCTCCTAGTAGCCCCAGCTGGCCTCGAACTCACAGAGATCCGCCTGCCTCTGCCTCCCAAGTGCTGGGATTAAAGGTGCCACCATGCCCCGCTGAAGACATTTGTTTATTCATGTGTCTAGAGGTTTTAAAAAGAAATTTGTTCTGTTTATTGGTGCTTCTGTGTTAGTAGCCACAAATGTCTTTAAAGTTTCCATTTTAAATGCACAATTTTACCTCATTTTTATTATAAGGAATTGTTACAGAAAATGCAAGTATCAGTATTTGAAAAAATACATTCCATTACACAGACTCCAAAGAAACAATGCTGATAAGCGCCATGGTCCTAGATGATGCTGTCATTCCCACACTGAGCACCACCGGAATGGCTTGGAAGCCAAGGTGATCTACCCAAACATGTGCCTGCAGTTTCCGCCCAGCTGCTGCCCTTGCCCTTGCTACCACAGGGATGTCATGGAGAATACCCAGCTCCATACATCTGCCAAACAGGCAAGTCAGTAAGTCCAGCAGTCCTAACCCAAGACTCCCTCACTACAGAAAACCAGTGTTGTCGGTTGTTAACAGGTCAATATATTATTTATGCCACACAAAAGAGGAACAATCCTCCAATGAAAGTCTTTAAGGCATCTACAATTCTGGGAATTTTAGTGTTTAGTTTACAACTGGTCAAACACTCAGCTCTTCAACAGATCCCTTCCACAGAGAGTGAGCGAGGCTTGGTGAGCTGCTTCCTTCCTCTCTGCTGGGCTGGCAGGGGAGCTCTGGTGCTTCGGGTGACTCTCCAAGGCTGATCCTGAGGGAAGCCAGTGTGTCTGTGAGGGAGGCATACATTTACTTGTGCAAGCTACTGTCACTGCCTCTCGGGTCTAAGCATTTGGAGGTTCAGCCATGTTCTTTTTTTCCATGTAAAGAAAACCTAGATGGAAGCCAGTACTCTTCCCTGTCCTAAGCCTTCCCTCTACCCCTTCCCTGTGAACAACACTAGTGCAGGAACAGTTGGATATGTCACGGGGGACACACAACGACATGAAGTAGGAAAGATGGTGTGACTACACATACCCAGCTCCTCATGAGACCCGTTCAGGGGCAGGGAGGAAGCAGGCAGATGGTCAGAAACAACTCAGGGCTCTGAGGTAGAGGATGAATAGGTCACATGGACCCCACTCCTTGGAGAGAATGTGGCAGGTGAACTGAGCAATCTAATCTTCAGCCTTGACTGAACTGGTAATTGGGGTTGACAGTGCAATAGGCCTGAAACTCCAAAGAGAACATGTGTGCTAATACATTACTGAGTGAGACACCAATGAAAAGAAAACTGGAAACAAAAGTCCTCAGTGTAGGCACTTCAGTTTATGGGATGTTTCTGTGTTAGAGGATCATAGCAAATTAGTTTCAGCTATTCTATTTTTATACATAGCACATGGTCTGTACCTCTGTCTTAAAAAAAAATGTGCTGTACATAAGTCCTATGACGAGCAAGAGGCAGGTAAAAAGCTGAGCGTAACAATATTGACTAATGCAGCAATTATGCTTCAGTAAAATTCATTCTTCCTGCTCTACTCATTCACAACTGGCAACTTTTTGAATAAATAAAAGTAACTTCTGCTATGAGTTCTGAAGCTACTGATTAAAATTGAACAAGAACAGCTAGACAGTTCCCAAGTGAAGTCTTGTCAGCATGGTAAGCACAGGCGAGACAAAAAATGAGTCTGGCCCTGGCCAGGGCAGTGCAGCATGAGTGTAGCCTGGTGAGCACACAGTTGTCAGGGAGGTCTAGGACTGCAGAAGGATACTTGGTCTACATCCACAGCACAGAGTTACTGTGCAACTAAGACTGTTCCCCTCCCATGGCTGCTCATACCCTGGCTTCTGAAGAAATAAAAGCTTGAATCCACACATTTTAAACAAGATCTAAACATGATTAAGTGCAGTTATAGGCAAGACTGTTACTGAAACTGGTGTGGTAAGGCAAGGACAGAACAATCAGTTTCAGTCCTGATTTCCATCCTCCCCTCTCCACTGTGAACACTGAAAGAACAAGAAAGTATATGTGTACCAGCCACCTCAGTTCCTATCTGAACCATAATTACTTTCCTCACTAAAGACATGGTATCTACTAAGCTGTATGGCCTTATAGCCATTTTTTGGCAATAAAAAATGGAAACTGACCACATGCTTCATATAGCTGTTGGCCAAGACTCGTCAAGTGTTTCCATAAAAATTGTATGAAATCTGTTACAGACTGGGGGGCAGTGGAACTCCTCTAAATAACTTTTCCTATTAAACATTGTATACTGGGTAATGTTACCATAAAAAGCATGTATCTTAAAAATCACAGAAATATTTCTTAAAGTAGCATTCTGGCTTATCAGTGCATTTTATACACATATTTAGGCAATAAAATATATAAACCTATAGCAACCTAGAGGACATGTACTAGCCAAAGAAGAAAGAGATACAAAAAAAGAGTCCCTTTTACACATATACTGTAGTGGCTATTAAATATCTGAAAAAAAATCAGTATGTATGATTGAGATTGTTAATTTGATTATCACTATATAGTAGATATTGTTCATCTCAGAGTTGTGTTTCTTTAAAAAAAAAACAAAACTGGTAGAAGTTTCTCTTTCAATGTACATTAAAACAAAACAAAACAAAAAATCCCTTAAACTGGCCAAACCTTTAAAAGACATTCAACATCTCATGGTTAATAGGTACCAGCAGTAACCAAAGTCCTTCCTGCTCTGGAGGCCTTGCTCAGCATTCAAGCCACAGCCTTCCAAAACAGGTTGTTTACACTTGGCTAGGGACTTTGGCTACTGGCTTTTATGGGGCAGGGCATGCTAGTCAGAACTAGGACCAAGAGTACTCAGCATGCCAGGGACGGTTTCAACAGGAAGGGCTCATGTTAAGGAGAGAGGGCCTGTGGGACCAAGGCTGGAGATGGGCCCTGGGGCTGAAGCCTCCATCTCCTTTCTCATCAGTATGAATTTCTTCCTCCTTGGCAGTTTTCCCTATAAGACTAGTGCTGGCTGAGGTTCAGTTGAAGCTGGCCATCAGAATCACTGATGCAAGGATGTGGGGTATTTCTGAACATGGATTTTTAAACTGGGAATTACCAATGATGCAACTCTAGAAAAAGTGCAGCACAGCCAAAGTGCATTTCCTCCACCACTCTCAAGTGGTAATGACTGAGGACTCCACAGACAGGACGCAGCAAGACGAGAGAATGAGACGGCTGCTAGGTGTCAAGCTGCTGCTGCACTCTTGACACCCAGCAGCATGAACACTGGTAAAGCTTTCGGTTGTTAAGGCCACGATTTTTCAGCTCTCATCTTTGAACCCTGTTTAGAAAGATTTCACCTTTTTAAAAGGGGCAGTTCACTGAAAATATAGCTTAGCTTTAAAAAAAAAAAAAGAAAGAAAGAAAGAAAGAAAAGACTTCAGGGCAAGAGGATCCTATTATCTTTATGAAAAGACACTGTGCAGTGAAGTCCATAGCCACTTACCCTAGAGTACAACCAGCTCTCATCAAGCAGCTGCTTTCTACTCTGTCAGGCTCTGCCTCATTTGTCAGCCCAGGCAGGAAGACTTGGTGAATTCTCTGAGATGGACACTAAGCTACTGGAAGGGAAAATTGTTTCCAAGTGTCCTTTGTGTGTTGTTAGCAGATGGGGTCTGATTCCTATCACATTTACCACTTAGGCTAAATGGCCTGGTCCAATTAGACATCTAGTGCAATAGATCACAGTCTGACACACTGACAATCATACAGAATCATCTGGAATGGGATCACACTGTGGTCCTTAATTGTTCAGTCTTCTGCCACAGGAAGACAACTGCTAGCTCCTGCTCTTGGTAGGGGGCAGGCTGGTGAGCAGAGCAGTTGCTGGGTAGGTGCCTGGGGATGTTGACTTGGACATTCCTGGGGGCTCACTAGGAGACACCACCCAGAGTCAGTACATCAAAGCAAATGTTGCAAACCCGCACAGGCTTGTTCAGATCAAACTTTATGATAGGAATCTCCTTGGTCGAACATTTATGGCAAAGAAGACGGCCGCAGTGACGACTGTAAAGGCAAAGAAAGCAAGCGTGAGAGGTACTGAGGAGCACACTGCTCCCACATGGCCAGACAAGGCTAGCCTGGGACAGCAATCTGGCCAACTGTGCCAACTGCCAGCCAAGTCACACCAATTCATGCTTAAGACCAAAATTCTAACTAATAACTAAACTAAAGCGAACCTGAAGAAGCCCAGTTGTCTCGCTTTGTTGGGAACTGCTCTGTGGTTCCCGGCACAGCAGCCTTTCTTTGGCACACTGTGAGGTACATAGAAACAGACCTCAACTTTGTTGCAAGCCCAAGGACGATGACAAGCCTCACAAACTGCGTGGGCCTGTGTGCCCTTAGCACCCATCAGGAAAGCCACAAGTCTTGAATGCTCCCTGTTTGCCCTCCTCTCCCTTCTCCATGGACCCTGATGAGTTCTATCATCTCCTTATTCTGTTTGGTCAGCTTTTGCCCAGGAGAAAGCAGGGCTCTGGTAAGTTCATGGTCCACATAAAAAAGTATGGAAGTGATGACACCTTATAGTCCCTATTCCTCTGCAAACGATGATGGGATCTTACCAGTGATGTTTACGTGTTGTGACTCCAAACTTGGCAGTGCACTCATAGCAGTTGGAGCCATCACACCACGGAGGCTCCTTGGAGAGCATATCTGTAACACACAGAGACTACTTTTGTCACACACAGACGTGTTGGCGGGACTCAAGGCTCAGGGAGTTGAGCATGAGTCAGCACACTGCAAAGGATGTGGGAAGGAGGAGTGGACATGCCAATTGGGCAGGGAAAGCTTCACAGAGGAGCCTAAAGAATTAGTACTTGTGCTGGGCATGGTGGCGCACACCTTTAATCTCTGCGCTTGGGAGGCAGAGGCAGGCGGATCTCTGTGAGTTCGAGGCCAACCTGGTTTACATAGTGAGTTCCAGGCCAGCTGGGGCTACAGGGAGACTCTAGCTCAAAAAAAAAAAAAAAAAAGCAGCACTTGTTAGGCAGGCTTGGGCAGAAGGAAACCCTGCTTGAGGTGTCAATCAGCAGCGTGTATGTGGAAACATGTAACATGGAAGGGAGAGCAGAGACCACACAGCAGAAAAACTGGCAGGCACCAAAGGGTCAGGAACACAGCACAAGGGACCAAAACAAAGGAAAGTGAGGAAGAATTTGAAATTTGAGGATGGAACTGGTGTGTGGGAGGTATGAATGGGGTAGGGGCAGGAAAGAGACTAAAGGATTCCAAGGTTTCTAGACGGACAGACTCATAATCTGGTGGAACCACTAACAGAGGTGGCCTAAAGAACTAGAGGAGACAAGTTCTGACTTCACTTACTAAGTTGGGAGTTTTGGAGATAACAACCACCACAGGTCTCAGTGTTCTAGGATCTAACTGCAGACCAGGTGCTGTGTTTCTACTCTGTTCACGGAGGGAGCAGCACCGTCACTGGACCTGCTGAGCTCTGAAAAGACTGACCAAGTACATGGTATAGGGAAACTGGAGTAGTCTTATGTATCCAAAGCATCATGCTTTCTTGAAAAAAAAATTTTGATGATGCAGAGACCGGAAAGTTCAGTGCCTTGCCACAATGGGAGGAAGATCCCACACCTACCAACCCCTCCAAGGCTTGGGGACTTTTGTGGAAGAGGTTGGCAGAAAGAATGTAAGAGCCAGAGGAAGGGGTGGAGTGTCAACTGGAAGTGTCCTCCAACCATTATGTCGGCAAGCTATAGACACACCTCCTTCCTACATTCTTCAAGGAGTTGATGGGGGAGTCAGTTACCCCTCCCACCCAATCAGTGGACCTTAACTATGTGTGGGGAAGAGGCTAAGGATATATAAGCCAAGAACGCTATGAGGCACCTCTCTCACATTTTGTGAGGCTGTCAGGACATCACAGGATCTATATTTGAGTGTGGACTTTCCAGCGCAGGCATAAATGGGAGGAGGGTACCCACTCTTCTGTAAATAAACCCCCACCCTACGCTCTGTTAGCAAGCCCAATAAACTCATTAGGATTTTCCCAAAAAAAAAAAAAAAAAAAAAAAGAGCTAATGGAATCTTTCATTATTCCACCAAAGTTGGCCCCATGTTGGCAAATCCTTTGGTCTTTGATTTCTTATTCCTATTTTCCCCCTTAAACTTCATTGTATATATTTTCTTTATGTAACCTGCTTCAAGTTATTTCTGGAAAAATGCATTAAAAATTGCTTCTCTTTGGAATATAATAATTTTTTTTTTTTTTTAAAGACAGGGTCTCCCTGAAGCCCCAGCTGTCCTGGAATTCACTATGTAGACCAGGCTGGCCTTGAACTCACAGAGATCCACCTGCCTCTGCCTCCTGAGGGCTGGGATTAAAGGTGTGTGCCACCATGCCCAGCAGAATAAAATAAATTTTTAAAAAATATTTTATTATTTTTATTTTATGTGTATGCATGTATTGCCCGCATGTACATGAGTGCACCCATGTCATGCAATGCCCCCGGAGGACAGAAGAGGCTGTCGGATCCCCTGGGACTGGAGTTACAGGCAGTTGTTAGCTGCCATGTGGGTGCTGGGATTTGAACCCGGGTCTTCTGCAAGAACAGTCAGTGTTCTTAACCACTGAGCCATCTCTCCAGCCCCATGAATAAAACAAATTTTTAAAAAATGGATCATTGCCAGGCATGGTGGCGTATGCCTTTAATCCCAGTACTAGGGAGGCAGAGGCAGGCGGATCTCTATAAGTTCGAGGCCAGCCTGGTCTACATAGTGAGTTCCAGGACAGCTGGGGCTACAGGGAGACCCTGTCTCAAAAAAAGACAAATAAATAAATAAATACATAAATACATAAATACATAAATAATAGCAAGGCTGGAGAGATGGCTCAGCAAACAAGACCATTTACTGTTCTTGGACAGCCCAGGTTTGGTTCCCAATGCCCACATCAGGTGACTTACAACCTCCTTTAACTCCAGTCCAGGGGATCAGATACTCGTTTGCTTCCACTGGAACCTGGACATAGGTGGTGCACATAAACTCACATAGGCATAATACACGCACATAAATAAAAAAAATAAATCTTTTTTAAAAATGTGTGTATGCATGCACATCCTCATGCATGGAAGTCAGAAGACAATTTTGTGGAACTGTTCTCTCCTTCTACCTTAACAAGGGTTCCAGGGATTGAACTCAAGTCATCAGGCTTGTATGTAAAGCACCTTTACCCATTAAGCCACCTCACCAGCTCTCTAAAAAAATTTTAGATGCACACATGATAAATTGTACTTAAAGGGTATGGTATGAAGATCTGATGAACGTATCAATGTGTGACTATCAAACTCATTCTTAAAAACGTATTATTCTTAGGTGGGAGACATTCCCTCCAGAGGGCTAGAGAGATGGCTCAGTGATTAAGAACACCGACTGTTCTTGCAGAAGACCTGGGTTTGAATCCTAGAACCCACATGGAGCTAACAACTGTCCATAACTCCAGTTCCAGAGAATCAGACAGTCTCTTCTGTTCTCCAAGGGCACTGCATGACACAGGTGCACTTACCTACATGCAGGCAGGCAATACACACATACACATAAAATAAATTAAAAAAAAAAAAGAAAGAAAAAAAAAGAATCAAAGGTTGTAGGCCAGACATGGTGGCACACATCTTTAGTCCCAGTAGAGGTAAGTGGCCAGCCCGGTCTACATAGCAAGTTCAGGCTAGCCAGGACTACAGAGTAACATCCTGTCTCAAAGAGAGTGGTCGTGGTAGAATCAAGGGTTGGGGATATAACTCAGTGGTAGAGTCTTTGCCTAGTATGTGTGAGGCCCTAGGTTCAATCTCCTGGTAAGGGAGGGCAGAGATCAAAAGCAAATCAGCTCTCAAAGTAAAAAGAATGCAAACAAGGAAGAGTCAGTGAGGGCTGAAGCTTAAAGTCATTTTGAAAGCTGTAAAGATAGAAAATCAGCCAAAGGAGGTCATATGTGAAGAAAAGCATCCAGGAGACATCAGTATGGCCTGCTGAGAGCTTGCCAGTTTCTTAAAGGTTCAGGGGAAATGGGAAAGTTGCAGGGACTCTTAAAGCATTGTGAGAAGAGACCACTAATTGTGACTTTCCTTAACATGACTCAAAGCCTTTCATAGGCCTTATATAGTGCCTGGAAACAGCATATTCAGATCTTACAGTAAGTCATTGAGATTTAAAAATTGCCAATCCTTCTAGACAATCAACACTGTACCTGTGCTTACAATGAAGGAGCAGAAAGTAGGCCACTCACCTAATAGTCTAAACAGAAGCTGCTTAGTGGCAACCTGGTAGTTGAAAATGTTGACTCCTTGATTATTATTCACCCCAAGGCGAGCCCCAGACCGGACGATGGCACGGCACAAGTTGGCATTCCCTTTCATATATGCTAAGAGCAGCACTAGAAAACAAAACCATAAGTACGGTTGTTTCCCATTAGCCTTGGCTGTCCACTGCCAAAGGTGGATATCAAACAGTCCATGGCAGGGCAGACCACTGGTAGGATACGTGTCCATAAAGTCTACAGACAGGGATTTGAGGTGCTTGTAAGACCTCCATGGAATGGCAGCTTAACAACTGTCTATAACTCCAGTCCCAGGGCATCCAACAGCCTCTTCTGACCTCCATGGGCATTGCATGACACGGGTGCACTGACCTACATGTAGGCAGTACACGCATACACATGAAATTAAAAAAAAAAAGGCCTCCATGGAAGATGTGCAAATGAAGGCTGAACAAGAGGAACCTAGGTTCTGGTCCAGCTATCCTGTTGTTCTTTGTAAACAGTTACAGCTGGCAACACTTCCCTTGGCTTACCCTTACCTGACACTTTTATTAAATTCTTAACTCAAAATAGTGCAATAACATGAAGGCTATTAATCTCATTAGTAAATGAGGACACAGGCATAAGGAGGTTCAAAATTTACCCAGTCACCTTGCTAAAGTACAACACAGTGAGACATTTGAAACTAGGTCTCCATTAATGAGAACTCTGGACATGAAGCCCCTTTCTACCTGCCTCTTAGCCTATACCTGACAATATTGCTCCCTGAGTCAACAGAACACAAAGGTATGTCAAAAAAAAAAAACCACCCTGTGAAAGCAGCCCAAATGAATACAGTGATTCTAGACAGCCAGAGCAAGCTACTGGAGAAGCCTGTTTATTATTCTCTCAAGAAGGCACCTATGTGGACCTTGCCACTTTTTCAAAGCACACCACAGAGACTGAGACACAGTTCCTCCTGAAGCCCCTGGGTCCTATTTATCTTATCTCTGCTGAAGTGAGAGCATAAAAAGTTCTAGTTAACTGGCAAAAAGGCAGGTGGGGTCAGTTCTAACAGTTGGGCAGGTCTGCTGTACTTCAGGTGTCAGACCTTCCAAATTCCATGGCAGGGATCTGCATTTGAAGCTGCATCTATTGGAAAGGCACTGAGGTGCATGTTCTCAGACAGAGGCTTGTGTGCCTAGGTTCCCTTCTCCTGAAAATAAGGCACGTGGACGAGACAGCTTATTTGCATACCTGTGTTGCCTTCTGCATCTGGTTTGTCCAAAGGATACTCAGGCATGCACTCTAAGAAGAGATCGAAGATGGCTGCTGCATTCTCTTTGCCATATTGTCCCAGAATGTGTAGTGGTGACTGGCCTCTGATAAAACAAGTTGGAAAAATTACACTTGTATCTGCCATAACCACCACACACAAAAGAATTTTCTGAACTCTGTGATGCTGGGTAAACCAAAAAGTCATGTAACAGGCCACATTTTTCTAAAAGTGGTGGGTTTTTTTGTTGTTGTTTTGTTTTTGGTCTTTTTGAGACAGGGTCTTCCTGTAGTCCCAGCTGGACTGGAACTATGTAGACCAGGCTGGCCTTGAAGTCACAGAGCTCCACCTGCCTGCCTCTGCCTCCGGAGTGCTGGGACTAAAGGTGTGTACCGCCACATCTGGCTAACAAGTTTTACAAAACCCCAAACACCAGGAAACCAAAAGCTACTCTTTGGTATGCACCTGTGGCTCAGGGGAGGCAGAAGGCCAGGTGACAGGGTCCAGACACACTCACCTCAAATTAAAGGCTTCAGCATCCACTGTGCACTCTGTCAGAAGAGCCCGGATATTGTTGAGCCGACCATGCATGACAGCAAGATGAAGAGCTAGGGAGAAAATTCTTTTACTGTGCAAGCCCAGAAGGCATACAGAAAAACCTTAGTGTCTCCCTAGTTCCACCAAACCCCTCTAAATGAACTCAGCCATTGCAGTGACCGGACAAGTTTAGAGCCATCCTTTCCCATCTTCTTTTCCTCAAGAAGCCATCAATGCAATCTCATGAGCCCTGGTCATTCCCAAGATGAGGTTTAACAGCTTCACAAGAAGTTTCTTCACACTCATACCCACACACACACACACACACACAGAGGCAGGCAGATCTCTGTGAGTTCAAGGCCAGCCTGGTCTACACAGCGAGTTCCAGGACAGCTGGGGCTACAAGGAGACCCTGTCTCAAAAAAAAAAAAAAATAAAACCTCACAAAAAGACTATAGCCTGCTTTCAAGCTATGACCATATTTAATTCCACAACATAAAATCTTCTACTATCAGTGATGAACCAGTAGGGTGGTCAGAGTTAAGAATAGCATTTTTGCTGGGCGTGGTGGCGCACGCCTTTAATCCCAGCACTTGGGAGGCAGAGGCAGGCGGATCTCTGTGAGTTCAAGGCCAGCCTGGTCTACATAGTGAGTTCCAGGACAGTTGACGCTACAGGGAGACCCTGTCTCAAAGACCAAAAAAAAAAAAAAAAAAACCCAACCAACACACAAACAAAAAACGTAACAACCAAAAAAGCTACTTTAGGCTGCCAAGGTTATTGATCAGATTGGGAGGCTGCTCAAGGTCTGGTCAGTGCCAGATAGATGCACTGCCCAGAGCACTTCCTGTCACAGCTCTACTCCTGTACAAATCAAGCTTCCTGAGGGGAACAGACCCAAGTGTATAGCACACCTCTACAGCTAGAATAGGACTCCTTAGACACGCAGCACTGTATGTAGGGTGATGCTTGGGAATTACCATTATTTCCATTCTCATCCACAGCAGCAAAGTCCACTCCATTTTCTAAGAGGACTGAGCAGATGGTGGGCAGGTCCTGCTGGGCAGCAAGATGGAGGGCGGTCTGGCGATGCTTGGTTAATTCATTCACCTTGGCTCCTGCAAGAAGCTGTTGAAGTTGATTACTCGAGCAGCCTCTCTCCTAGTCAAGCCTACCTGTCTTATATCCATGGGACTGACAGTCTGCCTGGCAAAGCTGGGTGCATGAGAGTCTCACACATATTTCTGCTGAGGCAAACCCAGAAAAACCTGTGCCAAGGGCAAGCCATCTACCAATATGTTCAACAGCTATTATTTAGGACACAGGAATTCTATGCTTTGGTATGTAAAAACCACAAAGGACTGCAGCAGTGTTCACTGTACTGTGTAAGGATTCCACACTACTAAACAGTAAAGGAAGACATTAAGATGATAAATACATACATAGTTAACATGGAAAGCTGTAGACTGCATAATTACAAAAATAAAACCAAACCCAAACAAAAAAGGATAGCTCCTTCCATCACACTGTGCAGATGGAGGCCTGCTGGGGACAAGACTGTCTGCTGACCATGCTGCAAGGCCATCTTTCCAGACTTTAAATGGGGTGTCCAGAGTCAAATGGAGCACCCAGCTCTTCTTCAAATGGAAGAGTGCTAAGGCTAGGCATGGTGGTGCACACCTGTAATCATAGCACTTAGGAGGCAGAGGCAGGCAGATCTTTGTAGTTTGAGGCCAGCCTGCATAGCAAGTTCCAGTTCCAGGCCAGTTGGGGCTACAGGGAGACCCTGTCTCAAAAAAAAGGGGGGGGGAGGCTGGAGAGATGGCTCAGTGGTTAAGAACACTGACTGTTCTTGCAGAACACCCGGGTTCAAATCCTAGCACCCACATGGTAACTAACAACTGTCAGTAACTCCAGTCCCAGGGATACAGCCTCTTCTGTCCTCTCTGGGCATTGCACAACATGGCTGCACTTACCTACATGCAGGCATAACACTCATACACATAAAATAAAATAAAATAAAAATTTTTTTGAAAAAAGGAAAAGTGCTTATGCTGGAGACAAAACTCAATTCTACTCGACAAGAGATACATTTATATACACAGCAAAGAACAGAAAGCCACTCCTGGAAGCAAACTGAATAAAACTAGAGTGATCTAGGGAAAGGTAATTTGTGCTTATAGAAACTGTGGTATGGCTTGTGCCAAATCCCAAAGAAACTGTCCAGCTATGGCCACTGGGCACAGAATCTGTTTGATGCTGTAACCTTCCAAGATTAAACTAATAAAAAGTAAACAAAAACAGATTTGTGCTCTTAAGGAAAAAACAAAACAAAAAGAGTCAAGTTAATATACAAATTGATTCCATTTGGAGACAAGACAGACATGGAAATACACAAGTACATGTGTACACACCCATGCTTTTGAACACATTTAAAAGCATAAACCAGAAATATAGCTCAGTAGTATAGCACCTGCCTATGCAAAGTCCTGGGTTTGACCTAGCACAAGAACATGGACACGGACACACAGCATAAATACTCATGTGCTTCACAGCACCATTCTTGTCAACAACAACTGTATATACAATAGTGGTAAGAGTCTGCTGTCCAGTGATGTTCACACAATGACAAAATTTAAGCACGCCATTCTCAATTCTCAGAACATAACCCACTGTTTAAAATAATATAAAAATGGGCTGAAAAGATGGCTCAGCAGTTAACAGCATTGGTTGTTCTTGGCAAAAAACCCTGGATTTGGTTCTCAGCACCCACATGACAGCTATTAACTTTAACTCTAGTTCCAGAGGACCCATTGCCCTCTTCTGGTCTCCACAGGTATTGCATGATATGGGCACACATACATGAAGGTAAAACATTCAAAAATTAAAAAATTAAAATAATGTAAAAACAGTGCATGCTCACTAAGAAAATAAAGCACATAAGAATGCAAAGCACGGACATCTTTCCCAGTTCTACGTACACAATGACTTGAGCTTTCAAAATAAGCATAAACTTTCTGTACTTAAAAAACAAAACAAACACACAAATTATAGAATCAAAGGCAAGAAAAACCTTAAAAGTGGATATGTTCTTATTTATTTAGTAGTTGACAGTCACTAACCATCTGCTTTCTGACAAAGTTTCAAAGACAGCTATTAACAGACACACTATAGGTTGCCTTTTCTGAGCTCTGCCTCGCCCCAGCTCATTTATCTGTGTGTATGGGCACTGTCCTCTAGGAGTCTAGGCCCTGGCCAACTGCCCTAGTTCTGACCCTGACTTCTGACTTCTGACTACCCTATTTTTGACCCTGACTTCTGACTTCTGACTACCTAGACCTCTAGGTACCCAATTAAATCACTCATGAAGACCTACTGGGGGTGAATATGGGATACTACACATAGGATATATATATATATATATATAAACTTTTTTGTAAAATCAGAGTGGCTGAAGACTGAGAAAGTTCTGGTATTTGACTGTGGTAATAACAGCAAAACCTTACAAACTTATTGCAAACGAAGGAGTGGATTACACAGTATGTGATAAGATCAGTATACCTTTATAAGAATTGGGTACTCTCCTTCCACCTTTACATGGGTTCCAGGGATCAAGCATGTCACCTCACCCCTAAATATATAAATATCCATGGGCACTAATGCTACACTCCAGATCAAGGCTGGTTACCAGGAGAGAAGACGGTTACCATCTTCACTTTGTTTCTATGTGAGCAGGTCTAAACATTATGTTGTGCCCGTTCAGAGCAGCACATAGGCAATGTTTGGAGGTTACCTCTTACTGGGTACCTGTCTCCTGTGAGGTCTGGCTTAGGAAGACAAGGAACATGATATAAGAAGACTTCAACCTCCATAGGCTCTCCAGCAGCAGCATACTCATGAACATGAGATCTAATTCCCTACTTATGAGAGGTCTACCCTGCCTCTTGGCTGCTTCTCCTGCAAGTAGCCCGTGCCTGGACTATGAGCTCTACCTCCTCCATTACTCTCTAGTCCATCTCTAGCTGCCATTGACCCCCAAGATCCTTCACTGCCAATTCTGCCCTTATACCACCTGTACACAACTTCTTTAAAAGCTTTCTCAGTTCAAACATGTAAATCATAAAAACTTTCTGAAAGATATTTTTAAAGTAGGGTATAGTATCATGTGCTTGTAATACCAGCACTTACGAGGGTCAGGCAGAAAGATCACAAATTAAAAGTCAGTCTGGGCTACAAAGTAAGACCCTACCAAAACAAATGGGGGGCAGGGAGGAGCCAGAGTATCAAAGGCTGGTGCCTGAGGCTTACAGGAGGCACCAGATCTCAGGAAGAAGCCATGTGACATGGAACTCTGTCTTGGATCACCAGAGGATAGAGGCTGATCAGTGCTTAGTTTGAAATTTGACAGCCATAGTCTGATCTCTGCCTACCTAGTCAAACCCATCTCCTTCGACTCTCAAATTTCAAACAAACTTCTCTTCATAAAATGCCCACGTATATTCTCTCCAGAGTCCACATCCCTGTTCAGATTTGCCCCCTACCTGATCTTTTTGTTGTGCTAGAAAAATCAGGCTTTTGAATCAAGTCACAATCTAGCTACATGAGTACCTGAGAGCCCTGGGGGATTCTTTCTAACATAAACTTTCTCCACTGTAAAATGTATAGTTTCCCCACCCTTCTGGGATTCTGGAAATTAAGAGACACGTATTTAAAAGTTTTAGCTAAGCTAGGCATGGTGGCACATGCCTTTCATCTCAGCATTAGTGGCAGATCTCAGTAAGTTTGAGGCCAGCCCTGGTTGGTCTATGTAACCAGTTTCAGGTCAGCCAGGACAATATAGATGAGTCCCTGTGTATAAATAAGTCCCCTTCCCTGCAAAAAAAGAAAAGAAACAAAAGATGCTTCAGCTGAGTGACTGATAGACAGAGGGCTTCTAGGTGACCTCTAGTCCTGTTCTGTTGCTTTCCAAATCCTACTGGGTCCTTAAGGCCTAACTCTAGCATCTCCAGGTCTATCCCCAGCATGTCTGGCTTGGGCACTTTGGACCTGCAACCAGTGACCCATTTGATTTCTTGGGAGACTGGTTTAGTTCCCCGATTCATGCTAGCCTTTTGTAGCACCTGGGAAAACACCCATGAGGACAAATTCTGCACATACCCTGCAGCACACTCTGACATGTTATAATACATTTTATGTGGCTTACCAAATTTCGGACAATGATCTCTGAACCGGCTTGGACAGCAAGGTGCAGAGGGGTCAACTTGGAAGCATCCTGGACTCTGGAGTTTACATTGGCCTGGACACTGATCAGGAACAAGACACTTTCGATATCAGAGTTCTGAACTGCCACGTGAAGAAAATTCCGACCCTTATTATCCACCTGACAACAAGTAGGAACCAAATTGTTAGCAAGCCCCCTTTAAAGAGTAAATGCTTCTTGAGCATCTGTAAGCTGAGCTGATCATTGAAGAGGCCATGAACCAATCCTTCCTTCAGTTCCATGAAGTTCCTTCCCTAGGACCAACAGTAAATACCACCCCCTAACCCCACAACTCAACCATGCGTACACATGCATGTGGTCAGAGGAGGAAGCCGATGCTCTGGCACCCTGCTACAGCATGAGTTCAGTTTTTACCCACAGAACTTTCATACCATCAGGTGGCTGAAATGCAGGGCAGAAAGGTTATACTTCAGCCAGCAATGACAGGATACTTGAATGGCCAAATTTTCAGGAAGGGAAATATAATTTCAAAATAAATATCTCTGTGTAGAAAGAGACATTAGTTGATAGCATCTGGTTAGTCTCCATGTGAGAGGGTCTGTTATGGTGAATAGTGGGTGTTGGTCACTCACCTGCTCAGCTGCCCCAGACTCTCGTTTTAGAATGGTCTCAGCTGCTTTGTTGTTCTTGTAAGTCATGGCACAGGCAAAAGGGGTCATCCCTTGTCTATCTCGTACATTCAAGTGGATGTTAGGGTGAGAAATCAGTAGCTGAATGATGACACTGTGCTGGTTGCTGATGGCAACATGGACAGGTGTTCTTCCTTCTGCATCCTATGGAGATGAGGCACAGATTTCCATGTCTAGTTGGAAGATAAAACTCAAGAAAAATATGAAGAGAGGTAACATTTAAGAAAAATTTCAGTTATGAGGCCCTATGTTTGAAATCAGTTTTCAAAGAGGCCAAACATATAAATGACTGAAAGCTTCTCCATTACACCATGCTCCAGCTACTGAGTGGCAACAGGAGGCCCAGCAGAAACATAACTGTCTTAGAAGATCTGCAGTCATTCTCAGCTCTAACTGTCACAACTCTTTATCTTGCTAGGAAGCATTAGAAGAAACATGACTCAGAATGCTCAATTCAGCTACTAGGACATTACCCTAAATATAGTCCTCAGTTTAGACTAAATCAACTCTCTATGGAAATCTGTAACAGGGAATAGGGGGCAAGGAACAAGGATTAAAAACCTTCTTTATGCTGAACAGCAAGACAGAGAAATAACCTGAAATCAGTTCCATTACCAGGAAGGCTGTGTGACTAAGAAAGGCATTCTATCTATGATACTAAAGCCTGGTTCTTGATAAGGCAAAAGTCTGTGACTGGGCAATCTATAAAGTCCTTGCCACAGGTGGAAGTTCCTCTAAGTACACCTCCCTAGAAAAGAGAAATCACATACCTGTGCATTAACATTGGCACCAAACTCCAGAAGACATTGCACTGTCTCTTCTAGTCCCCATGAGGCTGCCAAATGCAAAGGGGTCTGTCCATCCCTTGCTTCTTCTTCCCCTTCTCCATCAGCACCTGGTTGTCGGGGACTATTCACATCACAGCCACTGAAAGAAATGGGGAAACAGAAGGTCATACTTCTTCTACCTTACTTATTGGCATGCTGCTGGAGAACAGCAGCTTTACCCGATCTAACAACAAAGCTGTCACTGCCACATTCTGTTAGCCTTGGTCCTTGACATCAAGTACTAAGGTCTGGATGCCACTGCCATAGACTCTCTTGCAATTGGTCTTGGGGGAAACTTGGGTATCAGAATTGTTACATATTCCCTAGGGATATGCAAATAAAGTTTGAGAAGCACTATTCGAAAAGTTTCCTGAATAATCCTGCCTTCCTCATGTATCTCACACTCTAAGAAGGCTGAAAGCCTGTAATGGCTCATGTCATGGTGGTGTCCAGCTGCCATCATCTGGTCTCCTCCACCTGAGCCTCCTAATTTCTTAGTGGGAATGTTGAAATCTGAAGGTAACAGGGGCCCATGCAGTCCCAACCACAGCAGAAATTGGCTTTGAGCCAGGCATGTGAGTCCCTCCCTTCTCCCAAGTGACCTTGGTCCCTGGCTGACTTGACATGACAGATCGGTGACCCTCTGATAATCTTAATTATGAAAGTAAGGCCAGGTATAGCATATCAAGACTGGAGGTATTTAACATAAGAGGTGGTTTATAGTAAGCTGAGTAAGATGACTATGAGAGACACTTGGGCTTCTCAGACCTGCGAATAAGAAAGCAGGCAGTGGACTCATTGTTTTCATCAATGGCTCTGTGCAGGAGTGTCTGAAGGCACCCGCTGGGTCCTGGGCCCCAGCATGTGGCGTCACAACCATGTCTGACCTGCAGAGAAACACAGTTTTCTCACAAACATTGTCAAGCAAAAGTGAAGAATTTTATTATGAACACTGAGCAATATGGCCATAATTTTTCAGATAAGACATGGTTGATAATTAACTGATAATTACCTTGATCTGCATCATTCATTAGTTTTATAAACATTGATTAAAATCTGCCCTGTGCCAATTCTTACATTAGATCCTGGAGGGCAGTTTCCAGAAATATACATAGATTTAATTAGTGCCTCTACAGCTTCATTCTACAAGGAACAGGTGCCTGCTTACATATGTATGCCTAAATCCCCAGCAACATACAGCTGTAATTAATAGGTAATCTGAAAACAGTTGCTAAAACCCCCATGTGCAAAATGCCTCAGGGTCATCTTTAGGCCCTTCGGAGTGCTAAAAGAAAACCTCAGCCAGGGTCATCTCACTTTTTGGACCTATCTTGCAAACAAGAAAAACAAACCTGGGATTTGGGAGTTTATTACTAAGGTGATGGTGAGAGCATCACACTATTCCCCCTGCCGGGAGACTCTTGAGAAGATGCCTCCACTCTTGTGCAAACAAGTACTGGCCAGAGTCACACTGAACCCCAACTTCCTTAGTGTGGCTTTTAACTCCTTGACCTAATTTATTACTTGGCTGATCTCTTGCTCCTCTGATGGCTATGAAGGCATCAAATCCACCTTTGACATGCACATCTCATCTGTAAGCAGAGGCTATGTTATGCCTATCTCACCAGAGTGGAGGCGATGTCCTCCAGATTATTTGCCAAGGCAAGCCACAGTGGGGGGTTCCCTTTTTCATCAGGCACAGACATATCAGCTCCTCGGGTACATATGGCATCAACTACAAGTGGAAGTTGATTTCTGATGGCCAGTTGAAGGGCAGTCTCCCCATCCTGAGTCCTACAAAGACATAAGCAGCACAATTAAAGCCAATGCTTATAAATGCAGCCAAAGGAAACAGTACCCTTTCTAATTGTCCAAGTAGACTTTGAATTTAGGGATCTTCCTGCCTTAACCTCTTAAGTAGCTGGAATTACAAGAGTGTACCGCCTAAGCCAAACTCCATTTGTACAGAGTCATTTCCTGTCTTCCTTTATGTAAAAAGGAATAAAAACTACGTTCTACAGCCAGGCTGTGCTTTAGAACCTTCTGAATGAAATAAGACCTGGGGTGACAACAGAAAGCACTGCTTTATCCCACCTGACGTTGATATTGGCCTGATGCTCCAGGAGAAAAAGTGCGCTCTTACTATCCTGCCGCTGGATGGCCATGTGCAGCAAAGTCTGCCCATCTGACATGGTATCATTGATAGAAGCTCCGGAGCCCAGCAGCTGGGCAGCAATTGTGTGCATACCTGGGAAATAAAGAAGCCCAATCGATGTATGCTCAGCTTTTCACAATCCTTGACATCTTAGAACAGACCCTCTCAACTTCTCAAAGCCAGGAGTTTTCCCATGATAAACAAAAAGGTGGTTTTACAACTTAATGATTAGCCTTGCCTCTCCATCCTCCCCACACCCCTCTTGTCTACCCACCTACACTATCTGGTGTCTGAGATGCCAATAGCCTCTGGCACAGCCTTACCAGTCCATAAAGCCAGGCCCAGCACAGTCTGGTCTCGGGAATCCTTGAGGCTGAAGTCCGGAATAATTTGCAAGTTGTTGGTGGCATGAAGAGCATTGGCTAAATATTTTTAAAAGGAAAAGAAACTTGATTTCACCATCGAGTGGTTCACAGGATCCCTGTGAGGGGTGGAGGGGATGAGGGCACAGGGGCTCACTATGTAGACCTGACTGACCTCAAATTTGTGGCAATTTTTCTTAGCCCTGAATCCTGAGCACTGAGATTACAGTATGGGCCACCACACCTGGCTCCATGAAAATTTAAGGCAGGCATTCAAGAGGACAAGACTCAGTTATAAACTGGCTGATGGGCCAGAATACAGTACGATAATATAATAATAAGTGCTATTCAGAGAAAATCAGATGAATCATATGGGGAGTGGAAGCCCAGAAATTTGGTATTTTGGAACAAAAATTGAAAGGGAATTGAAAAAAAAATTTTTTTGTCTTTCTGAGACAGGGTCTCCCTATAGCCCCAGCTGGCCTGGAACTTGCTATGTAGGCCAGGGTGGTCTTGAACTCACAGACATCCACCTGCCTCTGCTTCCTGAATGCTAGGATTAAAGGTTTGTGCCACCATGCCTGTCTGGGAAATTTAAAAAATTTACCTTAAAACATTCTTCACATAGTAAATACAGATACTATGGAAACATACATTGTAAGTGATGACTAAAAAGAAGATTAAGGGACTGAAGAGGTGGCTGAGCAATTAAGAACACTTGCTACTCTTGCAGAGGACCCAGACTCAGTTCCTAGCACCCACATCAGGCAGCTCACAACTGCTTGTAACTTCAGTTCCAGGGATTCTGACTCCCTTTTCTGGGCTCTTTGGGCGCCTACACTCATGTGATGCATATACAGGAACCTACATACACATTAACAAAAAAAAAATGTTAACAAAACATAAAAAGATGACTAAGCCAGGCATGGTGGTATATGCCTATAATCTGAGCACTTGGGAAGTAGAGGCAGGAGGACCAGGAGTTCAAGGTCATCCTTAAAATACATATTGATTTTGAGGCCAGACCAGACTACATAAGACTACCTTCCCTAAAAAGTAGGAACAAGAGGGCTGGGAAGATGGCTCAGTGGATAACAGCACTTCCTCTGCAAGCATGATCCCTAGCACCTATATAAAAAGCCAGGCAAGGGCCTATAACCCCAGCATTGGAAAGTGGAGATAGGCAGGAATTTGCTGGTCATCTAGCCCCCAAAACAGTGAGTTTCCAGGTTAATGACAGACCCTGTCTGAAGGCAATAAAGTGGAGAGCAAGAAGGGAGGACATTTGACACACTCCTCTGATCTCTGCACAGACACACACACCCATACACTTGCAAATTATACACACACACATACATACAGAGAAAGAGAGAGAAGACTAAAATAATGCTATGACAGTATTTCCTGATACCTAATTCCTATAACCTTTAAACCTCTATAAAAAATAAGAAAAAGGCATGTTTTACCCAAAAAACTCCTAAGTACAATGCTAAAAAGTGCTAGACTTTTGAGGACAAAGTGAAATATGGTTCAGGACCCAGGACAGATTTTTGAGGGAAGCGGCCTTCTCCATTGTATGAGCACCCCTTAGCTTCCTACTCTGGTTCCCCTCTCACAGGTGAGTCACCTCCAGGAGGCTGAGAGACACATGATAAGACTGAGCACACCTGGAGGACTTACCATGGTAGAATGCTTAGAAACAGTTCACAGTGCTGGAGAGATGGCTCAGCAGTTAAGAGCTCTGGCTGTTCTTCCAGAGGACCTGCATTCAGTTCCCAGTACCACATGGAAGCTAACAACTGTCCATAAATCCAGTTCCAGGCGATCCAACACCCTCTTCTGACCTCCGTGGGCATTGTAAAACATAGGTGCACTTATATACATGCAGGCAATATAGCCATACACATAAAATAAAGAATATAATTTAAAAATATATGTATTTTGGGTCTTTTTTTTTTTTTTTTTTTGAGACAGGGTCTCTGTGTAGCCCCAGCTGGCCTATGTAGACTAGGTTGGCCTGAGATGTGCCTACCTCTGCTGGGATGAAAGACATGTGCCACCACGCCCAGCTAAAATATTTTTTAAAAGACAGTTCACACCAATGCAAAGCTTTGCTTAGCCTACATGGAAAGAGTCTGGAAAAGCAACACTCAAAAAACAAAGACCAGAGCTAAATAGTCTCATAGCTTGGCCCAACAGGAGAAACTGGCAGCCCTAACCAAAAGCACACAGAGCAAACACCTGAAAGCCGGGGATTTCTTTTGTTGTTTTTTTAGCTAAGAAACTAGCTATATAAAACTCACAAATGGAAGCAACATTCATTCTGAAATTAACTCTGCCAAAGAACAGTTTTGTGTAAGTTACAGATGGGCACTGTTCCCAACCACTTACCTTTCTGCTCCAGGATGACAGATACCACATCTGGATGATTATAGGCAATTGCCATGTGCAGTGGGGTCTGCAGGTAGATGCCGTCCACAGAGCTGATCAGGGCCCCAGCCTCTTTGGATACAGGCACAGCTTCCTCTGTCTGCAGGTTTGGATTGGCACCTTGCTGCAGGAGCTCTGCTGTGAGGTTGGCAAGGCCACGCCGACAAGCTGTGTGCAATGGGGTTTCTCCCTGAAAGGAAAAAAATGCTCAAATGATCAGGGAAGGGAATTAGGAGTTCCCTTCATAAAGGGTTATGGGAGTGTACATGCCAAAATTCGGATCCCCAGTACCAGCCACAGCCCTTGGTTTCTCCTGTCACCAGATGACCTCATGACTCTGACTCCCTTCCCCCTGTATCAACCTTCAGTTTCTTTAGTGTCTCCAAGGTCCTTCTCTTTTCTTTCCAGTGACTTCCATGAACATCTTTCACTTAGTTTTCATAATTTTTAAAAAATATTTTATTATTTTTATTTTATATGTATGAGTGTTATGTGTGCATGTAGGTAAGTAGCACCCATGTCATGCAATGCCTGCAGAGGACAGAAGAGACTGTTGGATCCCCTGGAACTGGAGTTATGGACAGTTGTTAGCTGCCATGTGGGTGCTGGGATTCAAACCCAGGTCTTCTGCAAGAACAGCCAGTGTTCTTAACTGCTGAGCCACCTCTCCAGCCCTGTTTTCATAATTTTTTTCTAATTATGAAAGCCATGTTTTTCCTATAAAATAACAGCATAACACCGCCTGCCAACAACCCAACCACCACCAACAGTTATTAAAATCAACACTGTAGAAAACAGAAGAGCCACCCAGCCACAGCCCAAGAACCAAGGTAAGCAATGTCTGCAGTATCATGATCATTTTTCCTTAGCTCTCACTAGCACCTGCTTCTTTAACCTCATCTTGAACTCTGGTCAAGACTTCTGTCCCCAGCTTTAAATTTTTTTTTATCTATTTTTATGTGTGAGTACATTGCCTGCATGTATGTAAGTGCACCTGTGTCATGCATGTGGAGGCCAGAACAGGGCATCAGAGCCCCTGCAACTGGAGTTAGACAATTGGTAGCTACCATGTGGGAACCAAACCCAGGCTCTAGCCACCACCTAGGAACCAAACCCAGGCCCTCTGGAATAGCAGTCAGTGTTCTTAACTGTTGGGCCATTTCTCCAGTTCCGAAAGACATTTTTTAAAGAGCAAACATAAATTTATAAGGAAATAAGAGAAATAACTCCTGAGAGTAGGAGGTGTTTCCAGGGAGGAACATTCTTAAAGACATTTTAATTGTTATTATAGGTACCTGATTCAGTACTCAAAAGGTTTAAGAACATATAATAAAAAGAAGTCTTGCCTCACTCCTGGCCACCAGTTTACAACTACTCTTCCCTAAAGGAGCCATTATTAGTTTCATGTTTCTCTTCAGGAAGAAAATATACACACACACACACACACACACACACACACACACACACACACACACGTACGTATATATGCATGTATGTGTCTCTGTCTATGATACATGTAAACATACTAACTGGATGGTTTCTTTCCTTCTTTCCTTCTTTCCTTCTTTCCTTCTTCTCTGTCTCTCTGTCTCTGTCTCTGTCTCTTCCTTTCTTTCTTTCTTTCCTTTCATTTTTTTTTTTAAATGGCAACCAGAGCTAGTGCCCACACTCTACTCTGGAGGCTCACTAACTGGATGTTTTTTACCCAAGCAAATGGAACCACTGAAGGTAAGGACTGGATGCTTTTACTCCTCAACCACATATGCCCCCACCCCAGCCCTCATCCTCCCCATAATTACAAGTCACACCAGGCCTCTCCTCTTCCTCAGTTAGCTTCTGCCCAGCCCCCCTTCCTACACATTCTTATCAGGCGTGCTTACCTATTCCCATGACTTCTTTTAGGTTGTTGTTGAGACATAATCTCATGTATCCCAGACTGACCTTGAACTTCTGATCCACCTGCCTCCACTTCCAAGTGCTGGGATTACTAGCATACACTACCATACCTGGTTTACGTTGGATGGAACTCGAACGTAGGGCTTTGTGGATGCTAGACAAGTACTCTAGCAAATAATCTACATCCTTGCCCTGTACTCCCTTGACTTCTACCAGGACCTACAAGCCAGGTCTTTGGCCTGTTTCTTCACCCAATTTTTCTAGTGCTTGCTAGACTGTTAAGAAAGAATCCAGCCGGGCATACTGGCTCATGCCTTTAATTCTAGCACTCAGGAGGCAGAGGCAGGGAGATCTCTGTGAGTTCAAGGCCACCCTGGTCTACATAGTGAGTTCCAGGCCAGCTGGGGCTACAGGGAGATCCTGTCTCAAAAAGACCAAAAAATAAATAAATAATAATAAAATAAAAAAGAATCCAACAGTCACAAAGGAATATATCTTTTCCACATCTGTTCTTCCTCTTGGTCAGCTCCCTTTCTTCCCTTGGATCCATCCAACAGTTTAACTTCTCTTGCCTTGTTTCTGGGAGTCATATGAAGACATATCCCAGTTGGCTACAATTCGTCTGAAGGCTATTGAGTTGAATCTAAACCCAAGGTCACTGATTTGTCTAGACAACTGCTACCACATTCCAGCTTTGCTCAATGGCACACTCACCATGCCAGCCACTCCAGGCAGCTTTTCAGAGTCTACAAAACCTTTCTATGGAGCATCTCTTCCAACAGGATAAAGCCCAAACACCTAAGTCCAGGCTTTTCTCGGTATAGATCTCATTTGTTCTCACATCAGGTTTCTTTTGTGCTTTCACATCCTAGGGTTCCTGGGGTTTTGTCACGGAGGACATTAGAGAAAAAACAAAAGCTAACATAACACTGCACTCCTGAGAAAATTGCTTAAAGTTAGGAGACGGAGTGTGTTTCTTTACTATTAGGAATGAATAATGGGTAAAATAATGATGCAAGAAAAACAGATACGCAATAGTAGGGGCAGTCACTGAGGTGGTGAGAGGCGGTGATAGGCAAAGCCCAAAAGAAGGGCTGGGGATGAAGCTTAATAATAGAGCACTTGCTCTGATGTTCTGGGTTCCATCCCTAGCACTGCAAATAAAATAAAACACCAGCTTCTAGTGGGCATAAAGGCAGTCTATAATTCTAGCTGGCCACCTGTGTAGTGATGAGTAGATTTAACAGAGGAAGAAACAGCAAATATTTTGGATGCTGAGCTTATTGTTTATTGTCTTGCTAATGCTGCTGAGACAGTGTGTAACTAAAGACCCCAGTACATGGGTCTTAATACTGGTCCTATTATTTTTTTTTTAAATATTTTATTATTTTTATTTTATGTGTATGAGTGTATTGCTTGCATGTGTGCAAGTGCACCCATGTTGTGTAACGCTGGAAGAAGTAAGAAGATGGCAATGGATCCCCTGGAACTGGAGTAATAAGATGATTGTTAGCCACCATGTGGGTGTTGGGAATCGAAGCTGGGTCCCCTGCAAGAGCAGCCACTGTTCTTAACTGCTGAGCCATCTCTCCATCCCCTTACTGGTCCTATTATTTATGGACCACTTAACCTCTAAGGGCCTCATACTTCTTTACTCTGTCTTTTTAAGGTCCTTCGCTTTTTTTTTTTTTTTTTTTTTTTTTTTTGGTCTTTTTGAGACAGGGTCTCCCTGTAGCCCCAGCTGGCCTGGAACTCACTATGTAGACCAGGCTAGCCTTGAACTCACAGAGATCCACCTGCCTCTGCCTCCTGAGTGCTGGGATTAAAGGCGTGCACCACCATGGCCAGCGGTCCTTCACTCTTAATTAAGGGACTTATAGATATGGAAACTCTCGCTTTAATCCTAAAATCCATACTGTTTTAAGTCCACTGTAAAAACTACAGGGATGATATGTGATCTTAAAGGTAAGTACATCCCTGTCAGAAAATAATAAAGCCAAAACCCCCACTATTTAGTATCTAATGTTCCAGACAGTGTGCTAATACACCAATTCTTTCTTTTTAAAAAAGGATTTATTTTATTTTTAATTATGTATACTTGTGTGTCGCTGTGAGGTTATGTGCATGTTAAGTGCAGATGCCTGCAGAGGCCAGAGGTATTGGATTTCCCTGGAGCTGTCTGATGTGAGTGCTGGGAACCCAGCTCAGGTCCCTTAGAAAGTAAACTTGCAGATAAGGGGAAATTACTATATGGTCTGCCTTTGTTAGCTTGTGGTACAGACTGAACAAGCAATTCCATAAGAGAAACTTAGCAAATGCTAAGGATCAAGTTTCAAGCAGGACAGCACATGCCAGTAATCCCAGTACTTTGAAGGCAAAGATAAGAGACTCACAAATTCGAGGCTAGCTGCTCCACAGAAAATTGAAGGCCAGCTTGGGTTACATGAAACTCTCTACCAAAAACCCCAAAAGAAACAAGATGAGATTACAGCACATGTTTACAGTCTTGTTTATGTACTTTCTTTTCTTCTGGTGTTAGGCACTGAACCCAGGGCCTTGTGCTTACTAAGTAAGCATTTTACCATTGAGCTACATCCCCAGCCCCATGTTTGCTACTTTTTATTATACTATTAAGTCTATAGTATATCTAGCTCAGGGTCTGATAAATACAACAAAAACTTAAGACAATGGTTTCTGAGTGAATCAATCAACCAATCTTTGAGGATACATAAAAAGAGTCGCTTTTCTTCTATTAATTATATGCACATATATTATGAATATATGCATGTATTCTATTATATGCATGTAGTCACAAAAAGTGAAGAAAAAAAAGACTGTTGATTTTTCCTCCACACCCATCATTGTCAATTTCTTCCACAGACCAAAACCATTTCCTTGTCAAACTTACCCATTTGTTTCTGTGGTTAACATGGGCACCATTGGTTGCTAGGAAAAGAGCTGCTGCCTCATTTCCTGCCCCAGCTGCCCGCTGTAGTAAACAATTTCCTAGAAGAAAAAAAGACATGTTTACCCTTATATTTGCATGAATTCAAGTTCCACACTGTACAACACCCTGCCTTTCCTCACCATCTTAACACTGGCTGTCCATACCAGACAGTATGAACCCTTTAAGTCCACAAAGCACTGTCTATCTGTGGACACAGAGACTAAGAAAGACCTGGCCTGGACCATTGCTCTTCCCAGCAGTAAGCTGTGTCTCCTTGAGGGGGCTGGGTTAGAGTAAGGTTCTCAACACTGCGGCATTACTGATATTTTATATGGGGTAATTCTTTTGTGGAGCCTGCTCTGTGTGCTACACATCTGGCAATATTTCTGGTTCCTATCCACTAGATTACAGTAGGACTTCTCAGCTTGTAACAATAAAAAAAAAAATGCCTGTAGATGCTGCCAAATGCTCTGGGGAAAAATTGGGTATGGGGTAGACAGGAACTGCCCAGCTATAGCATGCTGGAGTTTTACTAGAAAATGCCCATCAAATACTTCAGTTTTATTCCTAGAGCCTTAAATAGGCTACTTCTTGGCTCAGAAATACTTATGATTAGTACTATCACTAATTTTCTAAATAAAAAGCTTAGAAAAAAAACAATTCCCTCCAAATGGTTTTGGACCCAGAACAGTGTGTTTGTTTCTTTCATTGTTCTTTCTCAGGTTTTTTGAGACAGAGTCTCTCTGGCCTGGAACTTGCTATGTAGACCAGGCTGGCCTCAATCTCACAGAAATCCACCTGCCTCTGCTTCCCAAGTGCTGGGATTAAAGATATGCACCACCACACCTGGCCCAGAACAGTGTTTCTAACTCCATTTCCAAAGATGAACATAAAATCTCATGTTCTGTGGGTTGGAGAGATAGCTCAGTGGTTAAGAGTGCATTCTGCTCTTGCATAGGACCTGAGTTTGGTTCTCAGCACCCATGCTGAGTGGCTCCCAACCACCTGTAACTCTAGCTCCACAAGATCTGATGCCCTCTCTGGCCTCTGTAGGCACCTGCACAAATGTGCACATACCCACACAGGCACATACAGAATTAAAAATAGCCAGGTGTGGTGGCACACGCCTTTAATCCCAGCACTTGGGAGGCAGAGGCAGGCAGATCTCTGTGAGTTCAAGGCCAGCCTGGTCTACACAGTGAGTTCCAGGACAGCTGGGACTACAGGGAGACTCTGTCTCAGAAAGACCAAAAAAAAAAAAAAAAAAAAGAATTAAAAATAAAAGTCAGTATATTTCCTTAAAAACTTCATATTCTGAAGCTGTGGTACTTGAATTTCACACAAATTAAATATTAGGTCTGGAAAATAAGAACTTGGACAGAGCAACAGGGTCAAGGAGATAGTTCACCCAGTAACAATACATGCTGAGCAAGCCTCACAACCCAAGTTGCATCTCCAGAATAATTTCTTGTTTGTTTATTTGTTTGAGATAAGGACTCATTATGTAGACCGGGCTGGCCCGGCAGTCACAGAGATCTGCTTGCCTCTATAAGGCACAGGAGAGCACTCTGTAGGAGTGCTGGGATTAATGGCCTGCACTTCACAGCCAGCATCTTCAGAATCACTAAGCAGTGGAAAGGCGTAATTTTGATCCCAGCATTCCTACAGTGAGATGGGAGGAAACAGGAGAATCATCCTAGAAGCTCTAGGGCCACTTAGCCTGGAGTATACAGTGACAAAAATGAGAGAGACCTTACCTTGAAAACAGAGTTCCAATAATTGTCCTCTGACCTCCATGTACCTGCTTATACACGCGTTAAATTTAAAAAGAGAGAGGGGCTGGAAAGATGGCTCAGAGGTTAAGAGCACTAGCAGCTCTTGCAGAGGACCAGGGTTCAGCATTCACATGGTGGCTAACAGCCATCCTAAACTCCAGTTCCAGGGGATCTGATGCCCTCTTCTGACTTTCTTGGGCATTGCATGACAGAAATGCACTTATATACATAAAATAAAATACACTCATACACATAAAATAAAAATAATAAATATTAAAAAAAAGAGAAAGAAATGAAGAAAGAAAGGAGACAAAGTACTACCTTGTTTTTACACCATTTTTTTCTCCCTTTACCCTCAGAGAAGATGATTTCATCTATAGTTGATAATCATTCTGATCTAGTCTTCTATTATACAAGCCTACAATCCAAACACTTAGGAGGCTGAAGTAAGAGGATCAAGAGTTCAGGGTCATCCACAGCTACATATCAAATTTGAAGTCAGTCAAGGATTTATGAGACCTTGTCTTAAAAACAAACAAATCTAGACCCTTATGCTTAACTTATGCAGTCATTCCTATGTGCATGTCTTATTAGTTTTTGATTTTGTTTTGTTGGGGTTTTTTTTTTTGTTCTTTGAAACAGGGTCAGCCTATAGCCCCCGCTGGTCTGGATCTCATGAGATCCACCTACCTCTGCCTCTCAATGTTGGGATTAAAGGCATGTGCCACCAGTTCTGTGTCTTTTTTTTTTTTTTTTTCCTTTTTCATTTACTCATTGTCTGTGTCTGTGTATGTGGCCATGTGTGCCACAGTACATGTGTGGCAGTCATAGGACAACGTGTGGCGATTGGCTCTCTCCTTCTACTGTGTGAATTCCAGAGATCAAACTCGGGCCATCAGGCTCAGTAGCAAGCACCTTTACCCACTGAGCCATCTCACCAGCCCTGCACATCCTTAAACTTATACACCTTGCTATAGAACAAAAGATAAGTGTAGCTGCTGCGATATGATTGAATTATTGAAAACCAATGAACTAAGGTTATTACATGTAAAATGAAAATCAAATCAACAGGAAAAACTAATTTTGAGTCTGCCTGCATTTAATCATCAAAATTCAAAAGTATACAGTATAAAACTGCCTGAATAATAAGAGGAAATTTAGCAAGGCTCCCAGAAATTGATAGAACGGGGGGACAGGGGTATAGTTTCCTACATTTGTCTGGCTGCATGAAGCCCTGGGTTGAATCCCTTGCACTAAGGGAGGGAGGGAGAGGAGGAAGGAAGGAGTTGATAGACCAAGCAGTTCAAAATTAGGGTATGTAAGATTTGAACAGCATAATGGGCAATTTTGATATAACACACAAAGAGAATGCTACATTTCAAAGGGAATAAACACATATTCTTTTAAACTATGTATCAAACTTTTATAAGAACATGTTCTAAGGGTGTCAATGTAGCTCAGTTATAGCAGGTTTGCAAAGAGTGTGCAAGGCCTTGTTGTAGGTGGAGATCATATATAGAGAGTAAAACAATAAAATAAAATTCAAGGGTCTGGAAAGATAGCTCAGCGGTTAAGAACACTGGTTGTTCTTGCAGAATACCTGGGTTCAAATCCCAGCACCCACATAGCAGCTAACAACTGTCTGTAACTCCAGTTCCAGGGGATCCGACAGCCTCTTCTGACCTCCAATGGCATTGCATGACACTAGTGCACTTACCTACATGTGGGCAATACACACACATAAAAATAATATGAAAAAAATTAAAAAAAAAATTCAAGTCCTAAATACCAAAGAGCAAATCTCTTCCATGCAATTATATCATGCAATTAAAGTTAGCAATCAGTAAAGGTATGGCCGATAACCAAGAGACAGTGATAGATTAATGTTTAGTAGTAACAAAGGCATTTCTAAAGGTCTTTGGTCTAAAATACTTAGTTCTACCTGTAGAATTCACTGCATTTAGCTTTTATGTTACCTAGAGTAGGGATTTCCTTCCTTCCTCCCTTCTTTTTTTTTTTTTTTTTTTTAAAGTAAGGTTTTGCTATGTAATCCTGGCAGAACTAGAACTTGCTATGTAAATCAGGCTGGCCTTGAACTTGCAGTAATCCCTGGCCTGAGCCTCCTGCATGCTGGGATTACAAGCATGGGCCCCCATGCCAAGCAAGAATGGTGATTTCATTTAACCTTTATTTTTAGTACTGAAGATTAAGATTAAATTCAAAGCTACAAACATGTTAAACATGTACTGAGCTATACCTCCAATTCCTTGATCTGTATTTAATGTTATTATAACTTTGGCAAAAATGTTACTTAATATGTATCTTTTCTGAGAAGCTGGGAATAAATTCTATTTGCTAGTAGCTCCTACCCATGCTTTCCATTTATTTATTAATTTATTTGTATCTGTGTTATGTGTTTGGGAGGAGTGGGGGCAGGCACATGCCACTTGTGCTAGATAGCTTTAGTGTCAACTTGACACACCTGGGTTGAGGGAGCCTCAATTGGGGGATTGCCTCTACTGGACTGGCCTGTGGCCATATCTGAGGGGCAATTTCTCCAATGTTAATGTGGCAAGTCCCAGCCCACCATAGGTGGTGCCACCCTTGGGCAGGTGGGTCCTGTACTGGTTAAGAAAGAAGGCTGAGCATGGGCCAGAGGACCAAGCCAGTAAGCATTTTTCTTCCATGGCTTGTGCTTCGGCTCCTGCCTCCAGGTTCCTGCCCCAAGTTTCTACCTTGGGGCTCCCTCAGTGATGACTGTGAAGGGGGAGCTCTAAGCCAAATAAACCCTTTCCTCCCCAAGTTGGTATTGGTCAGTGTGTTTTGTCACAGCGATTGAAGGCAAACAAGAACGGGGGTGGGTGAGAGGGAGGAAAACACATATATCAAGAAAATGAAAAAACAAACAATACTACCAAGTTTTCTTTCAAGGAAAGACATTAAAACAGGGGTTCCCTAAGTGTGACCTATGTATTCCTGCAGGTTCCTGGAGTCTTACAGGGGAGCCATGAGGCCAAAACCATTTCCCTAACACTACTGGCTTTTTTCTTCACTATGCTGACATGGACATTGAAAGGGCAAAATCAGTGGTGGGTGGAGGGTGAGCACTTCACATAAACCAACAGTGGCACCATACTGCAGCAGCAGGCTTGGAGCCATGCTTTGTGGCCTGCTCCACTCTGCAGAGTGCACTTGCTTTCATTTTTACTTTTAAAAAATCTACACTTTCACTACTGGGAGAAAAAAAAGTCTATTACTACATTAAAAAAAATAATTTACTTAAAATGGTACTTGAGATTTATAAAAATTACCGATTTTATTAGCTCTCAACACAGCATATATTTCTGAAAGATTATGTATGATAAAAAAAAAAAAAAAAAAAAAAAAAAAAAAAAAAAAAAAAAAAAAAACAAAATCTTTAGTCCTAGCATTCAGGAGACAGAGGCGAGGCAGGCAGATCTCTGTGAATTTAAAGCCAGCCTGGTCTATATAGTGAGTTCCAGGCCAACCAGGGCTACATAGTAAGACCTTGTTTTAGGGTTTTTTGTTTTTTTTTTTTTTATTAGGGGGGGTCTTTTTGAGGCAGGGTCTCCCTGTAGCCCCAGCTGGCCTGGAACTCACTATGTAGACCAGGCTGGCCTTGAACTCACAGAGATCTGCCTACCTCTGCCTCCTAAGTGCTGGGATTAAAGGTGTGCACCACCATGCCAGGCCCCCATCTTAAAAAAAAAAAAAAAAAAAAGGAGTAAGTTTGCATAAAGATACTCTGCTAAATACAGAAGGGCTCTGTTGTCTGGAGGAAAAGCACTCAAGCACTCTAGTGCCAGCTGAATATCTTATCAAAGTTTGTTGTGGAACAGGAATTTTATTCAGAAGAATAACTGATTAATACACTTGTTATTCAAACATGAGTACTTGGTAGAGAGTTTCTTGAAAATCAATTTAAGAAAATCAATTAACAAAGAAAAACAAGTTATATTTTTACCTAATGACAAAATGTGAGCTTTCAAATGAAAATTAAAAATGTGGAAAATTAGCAGGGCGTGGTGGCGCACGCCTGTAGTCCCAGGACTTGGGAGGCAGAGGCAGGTGGATTTCTGTGAGTTCAAAGCCAGCCTGGTCTACATAGTGAGTTCCAGGACAGCTGGGGCTGCAGGGGGACCCTGTCTCAAAAAGCCAAAAAAAAATTTGGAAAATTAAAAGGGTGTATACATCTTTAATCCCAGCACTTGGGCAGCAGAAGCAGGCAGATCTCTGTGAGTTCTGGCCAGCCAGTCCTGGCTCAAAAGAAAAGAAAAAAGAAGTTGGGGTTTTATTGTGCTGGAGAGATTGCTCAGTGGTTAAGAACACTTGGTCTTCCAGAGAATTCAAGTTCAGTTCCCAGCATCCATACTGGGCAGTTCACAACCACCTGTAACTCCAGCTCCAGGATATCTGACATTCTCCAGCCTCCACAGGCACCTGCACATATGTGCCCACAAAAGGCTGTGGAGTTTCATATGACAATACTAAAGTTTACTGATCTTTAAATATGCCTCTCTACAAATCTGTGAGGATGTGTGTTCTTCATATACTTAAAATAACACATCTCAAAAGACTGAATACAGATGCAGATATAGGAAACTATCCACTTGCTGGGCGTGGTGGTATACGCCTTTTGTCCCAGTACTTGCATGGCAGAGGCAGAGGCAGGTGGATCTCTGTGAGATTGAGGCCAGCCTAGTCTAAATAGTGAGTTTCAGGCCAGCTGGGGCTAGAGGGAGATCTTGTCTCAAAAAACCAAACAAACAAACAAACAAAAACCCCTACCTATTCTTTTCATTAAATTTTGTTTGGAAAGTTTTATACTTAATATAAAATATTAAAAGTTTAGCTGGGCATGGTGACACATGCCTTTAATCCCAGCACTTTGGAGGCAGAGGGAGATGGATCTCTGTCAGTTTGAGGCCAGCCTGGTCTACATAGTGAGTTCCAGGTCAGCTGGGGCTACAGGGAGACCCTGTCTCAAAAACGACCAAAAAAATAAAAATAAAATAAAAGTTTCTCCATTTTAAGCTGGGCGTGGTAGGTTATGTCTGTAATTTGAGTACCTGGGAGGCTGAGGCAGGAGGATCTCAAGTTCAGGGCGTATCTGGGCTACTGGGCTACATATATATAACAAGACCTGGAGAGAGAGGGGAGAGAGAGAGGAGAGAGAGGGAGAGAGAGAGGGAGGGAGGGAGGG